AAATTTACTGCCACTGTAAGGATTCAGAAATCTTAAAAATCAATTTTTCAGGTTTGTTCAATTTATCTTCCCTCAAACAAATTACTGACAATTGCTGAACACTGCAAGACAACGAAGGAGAAAAAAATTTTTAAAAATTGACCTGATTTTTTAGGTTTTTCTTGGTATTTCCATTTCGACAATTTTAATATTATAAGTCAACATCTAAAGCATCCTTGCTGAAAAGCCCCTTGTTTTATTTTGACGGACAGAGATAAAACTATGTAGTGTCAGTATTTTTTGTGGTTTCTACTGCTTCAGCTTGTCACACTAATAACATTTTATTTATAACACAAATTAATATATTTCCTGTTTTATACCTAATGGAGTAGACATCTAAGTTATTATCTACATTTTTATGCCTTGATGCTTTTATTTTGCTGGCTTCTTTATCTTTTAATTGCTTTTCAGATGCTGATTGACGTAGCATTTATTAAGAGCTTTTTCTTTTTCATTTATAATGCTTTTTGTATTTATTTGGAATGAATCACAATACACTTTTTAGCTCACCTGGTCTGAAGGACCGCTGAGCTTATGCCATATGGCACAGCGTCCTTTGTATGTCGTCCGATAACATTTTACTGAAAATCACTGCTACATGTTATGAATTCTTGAACAGATTTTAACCAACTTTGGTCAGAAGTATCCTTGGGGAACCAAGTTTATATAAATAATGATTCTCAGCTCAAAGGGGCCTGAGAGGCAGGGCCGAAAAAGGGAAATTTGACAAGTTCTTTAAAATCTTACTGCTCCTTTAGGAATGCATGCTTATTGCCCAAATTTTGTCTGAAGCATTGTTAGTTGAAGAGGAATCATTCTACTATAAATAGTAGATCTCAATTCCCTGGGACAGAAGGGGCTGGGCCCAATAGGGAAAATGTAAGTTCTTAAAAAAATTTCCAAGTTTGGTTTGATGAAATGTTTATGAATAGTGAATCTGACTTCTGTTTGATCACAAGGATGGGACCCATCAATGAAATTATTTCAGAAATTATTTGTCATATATGAATTTTTTCGCTAAGTGACTGAATAGCTGATTATCCAGGTGAGTGATGCAGGCCCCTTGGGCCTCTTTTTATTATGGTATCACAAACTCATTTTGATTAATTTCCAGTATACAGCCATTTTGAAGGAAATATTTTCATGATATTGTATGATGGATATTTTAATGTAAGAAAATATTCAGACATCAGTGATATTATATCATTGTAATACCTAATTTTTGTATTTAGATTAATGTCAATTAATTTTATAGACAACAGAAAATGCATTTATGACCTCAGAATGAAAAATTCTAAACAATTCAATAGATTCATAACCAAATGAAAATAAATGTATAGCAGAGGCTGAAAAAAATGATTTATTACCTGCTTAAAAATTTTTTTGGAACTATTTAAAAAATTTCTACTTGAAACATTTTTGAAAATGTGAACCACCAAAAAAGACAACCTTGCACTGATGTAAGTTACGTTTGAATTATTGAAAAGTTGAATTATAGCATACAATATCATGAAAATCTTTATACATACTTGTTCTTTTTTATGCCATACATTTGTTTTCCTTTCCACACTAGCGGTTGATCTGAATCCAAATAGTGTAGACCAACATAACAACCAGGGTTCATGTCAAGCTGGCTTCTCTATATCCATGTCAAACGTAAGTCCGACTCAGATGTATCGTCACCATGGCAACAAATATTTAGGGCAAAACACTGTTATGGTAGCCATTGACAAATGTCTCAGCGACATGAATTTAGATGTGTTGTCATAGCAACATGTTTGTATCATAGCAACACATATATATGTAGTCAGTACCTTGTTGTCATGATCATGGCTATGTGTAAACATGGTCACATAGCAACACTAACAAGTTGTCATAGTAACAAGAATTAACACTGTAAAGATTCCTTTTTACTGAAAGTTAATGAAGTATTATAAAACCAGAATTGTTTAACAGGCAGTTATTGGAACATATAAAAGAGAAAGTTTTACAAGGAAAATTTCTTCCAGGTAACATTTTAATTGTTCGTTTTATCAGAACAAAACTAAATTGAATATCCACAGCATAAGGACTTCATTCAAAACAATTCTGCAGCATCTCTTGAGCTACTCTATGTATTAAGGTACCCTCTGCTGATTTATTAGCAACCATATGTTATACGCCCTATCAAGTCAGTGAGACTTGAAACATACAGCAAGTTCAAGATATGTGTCTTTCTGTGGCGATGCATGCAGCATGTGCATGAGCATGTTGTAACGGACTGCACTGACGTAAACATCCCCAGACTCTGTTGATGATTGCCATATGTATCAACACAAAGACTGCTAAATTTCTGAATACTCCCTCATTTCATCTATGTTCTTTTTCATCATTGTGACCATTTCTCATTATACAATGTAGATGCTAATTATATCTGTAAGCTAATGTCTGAATCCCACGGGTTCGCTATAAGTTTTTCTTATTTTAGGTAAAACCTCTGCCAATGAACTTTTTTGAAAAATCAGGTTTTTTATCGTTGGATCTTTAGGCTCTCTTATAACAAAGTACAAACAGTCTTATTTCTGATAAGAGTTGAATGACCTCTGACTTCGTGGTATAGAAGGATATGTGTTGGTGTTTGTGGTGATATGTGATTTGATGTACAGTAAGAAAATCTCCAGGGATCAATTTGGGATTAGATTGGTTAGATAACCAGTAGGAGTAGCTTGCTTGAATCAAAGCTCCCGAGTGTATAAGAGTGATAAGTCATCTTTTTAATAGCTTTACAGTTGGAGAAATTGTAGTCATGTTTGTTCAATATTTCATGCATAAATTTGAATAGAAATTTGAGAAATAAACAATGCTTCATAGATTTTGTAGAATAATTTATGTTTTTTAAAGTACATTAATTTTTGTAGGTTAGAATCAAAAATTAGATTTGCTCTCATATCAGTTTTGGGCAAAATTTTCGTCTTTGCCGCAAGTAGGTAAATATTATCTACCCATACCATATATGTTTATGTATTTATCAACTCATTGCATTTCCTCAGAGAAACCTTTTTCTAAACCAAAATTTCTAAATTGCATGTGTTGAGTGTATTAGGAAAACAAAGAGGAGATAAGTTGAGGGGAGTTAGTTAACATGAAAGGGTTGATGTTTCTGATTAATTGTTTTCAATATATAGGGTGAGATTGTTACAGAAGCCAGGACAAGAATTTGGTATAGTGTTTACACAGTTTAATCGTACTGGGTGTCAGATATCACAACATTCCTTTCACCAAAGTGATAAAGGCCAGCCACTGAAACCCAAGTAATACAGCTTAGATCTGTCATAATGCAGGATCTGTCGTTCTGTAGTTAACAACAATAGGAAGCCCTGGTTTGTTTCAGCTGTATTTACATACACACTGAAACTATCTCTGTCAAACTATTAATAATTTTTCTTGTGATCTTCATGATTTTTCTACTTTCACTTTTAGGGTTTTTTCCGATTTCCACAGGAGCGGAATTTATCATTGTCCGGTTCTTTTTTACTCGTTTTGTTTGTCTGTTTTTCGTATTGTTTTTCATTTAGTCTTCTAAATTTTTTCATACATGTTGTTGTCATTTACTTGTGTGTTCAAGTGTTTGTCCATTTGTCTGTCTTTATAGAATATTTATGTTGGCACAAGTCACACTGAAAGATTGTGTTTATATCAACATATATATATATATATCTGTATTTGTATATATCAACACCATGTGAAGATTAGATTGTCACCATGTGGAACACACCTCAAAAAAGTAAGAGTTTAGGACAGTCAACACAATGAAACCTTCATTTGGTCCTACTAAATAACAGATATTCAGACTGCTGCTTGAGCTCTGCTTATTCTCTGAAAATCAGGGAACAAGAGGGATAGTACTAATACCCTGATTGACAATACAGCAACAATAAGGAACAGACAAGAAATAAAATTCTTTGGATTAAACAGCATTAAAAAGCCCAAGGTAGTACTAAATCCCTGACTGTCACAAGCAGCTATAAATTTACCAGAAAAGCATTTGAGGTGTGTTAATGTTTGTTAGATTGTTTCTAATGATAGTTTCATATATTTGTGATAATTGAATTTATACTATATAGAGTTAAACAGGGACCACGATGAAATGCAAATGCCGTCAAAAAGAAAACAAGTTTAAAATCATGTTTGGTTTAGAATTTCTGTTATTGTTTATCATCCCATTGGATTATCTCCCTTCAGTTATTTACTGGATGTCTTCCTTTCTCTTTCGTATGTTTCCCATGATAAGACGTTGAATTATTTGCTATGTCATTGTTTTCATCCCATATTGAAAGGAAGCATTTTCTCTCCCATGATTCATGGTCCCTGATCTGTAGGTTTCGTGTTGATAGCTGTTATGTGTAGTCTTTTGTACCTGTAGTGTCTAATTGAATGTCTATCACTGGTTTATGAAATTACCACCTCACAGATATCAATAAATTGTATGGTAAATATTTCAAAATGCCATTTTGAAGTTGTCCTTTATACAATATTCAGAATTTCATGTAGGTGTCTGTGGCCTTTTTAGAAAAAGAAGTGAAAAAAACCCCATTTTGTGTCAATTGTAAAGATATTCTTGTAAATGGGAAAAAAAAACTGTAAGTAAATGTCTGCATTTGTAAACATTAGAAGTATATTTTTATTTGAAATCAAACTACTCTTTCTGATTGTCAAAAGTGAGAGTGGAAAATGTTTTCTGAAAGTTGAAATTGAAGTTTGAGCAATTTAAATGCAGTGCTAGCTAGGTAGGCAATGACAGGCACTGTACCCAGAATCCTGTAACAGTGAATATGGTGATTGAAATGAAAATTTCTTCAATGTAAAATTGAAGACACATTCTTACAATTTTTGAAACATTTCAAACTGATTCTTTGAGGTGGTGGCAAACACTGTGTTGTGTTACTGTAGTTTGACGTAGAGTCTGCCCATGTACATTTCAGCTAATTTAGGCTATGACAAAGGCGGTTACTGCGAGGCCGGATTTTCTGCAGCGTTTTCTAACGTGAGTTGTCTGAAAAATATTCTTTATTGCTGTACCACCCCAACAATAAGTTGTATTGAAGTATACACAGTATCAAATGAAAGTTGAATTTGTCTGGAATAAAGAATTGGAGATTTACGTCTGACCTTATAAAGATGATTGTTTGATATATACCATATATATTTGTGATAAGGAGAAGAGTCTCTATTGGAAATTTTTCACAAATAAGAAAGTCCTACAAAAGGCATATCTGATTTTTCTATTTGAAGAAGGTCTACTGACTATAAAGTACAACATTTTGAAGAGTTAGATGGGAAGGTTGTAAGGGCAGTTCTTGGAAGTCATTGGGTAAATCCAGCTTCTGTTGAATGCTAATTTTGTTTTTGACAGAATTCTTATGTTGTACTCAATGCCTTGAATAATCTGGACCCATGTAGTTTGTAAAATTGATATTAAATTGATGGTACAGCAATATTTCCCCTTCTGCTAAAAATATTTACAAATGACTTTTATTTTTTTTTTATTTATTTTTTTTTTCTTTTTAATTCAAAAGCTTTTTTTATCATTAAGTTTATCATTTTATTATTTTTCATTTGCATTTGGATGAATCACCTCCTTGGAGCATTTTGTGAAATGTGGAGTCAAAATATATAGCTACTTCTGAGAAAATTAGGAGTATCATTCTAGTTCCACACACACCTGATTGTTACTGTAGTATAAGGCACTCTGAGGATGTTTGGCTTCATACACTCATGTATCGCAATGATATGAAAATCAGTGCAGATTGACTTAGTATAATTGAGTCATGTCTTATAACTACAGGTCAGTGTAAATAATTTAGATTTGTGTTATAAAGAAATAACAAAAATGATGTACCTTTGTACATGGTTTAGATAATGTTCTAACTGAAAAAGACACTTCCCACTTCTCACAGATGGTGTCATTTGGTAGGTTATGCTTGACTGTTTTTGCACATCAGCTATGTTAGATGTGTTTTGGTGAAGTAAAGATTTCGGGGCTAACTAAAAGTGCTAAAAGTGACACCAGTGGTAACACTTCACAGTTATGACCTCTCTTGCCAACTAGTGGTATGAAGGTCATATGACAGTGTTAGTATTTCAATGTTTTAGCTGGGATAGACAGCTTCTAACTTTAACACCACATGATGGTACATTACAGAGATGTGTGACATGCTGTACCACCTTTTGTTCTTTAATGCAAGTTGGTTACATATACCATAGGACTTTGTGCCACCTGAAGGCTCCTATAGACTGTGGCCATAGTGAATCTGTCACCAGGTGGCACTGTGTATGAAGTTAATCTGTAGTGCCTGTAGTACCTGGTGGTACAATTCCCATAATGACCTCTGCTGCCACCTGGTAGACAGAGTTACAATTAGTGGCGCCATAATGTAGGTTAATACTTGGCTATGGGCTGTGGTGACACCTTGTGGAACACTTTACAAACTTTCAACTTACGGTGCCACCTGGTGGTACATTTCGTAAACTTTCAACCTATGATGCTACCTGATGGTATAGTACACAACTATGGCCTGTGTTTCTATGTTGGTACAGTATCAATGGTGTGTGTACCATCATTTTTTGCTTTTGCCTGTGCTGCCACCTGGTGGTACACTTTATTGAGTTGTGCACCTGTGCTACCACCTGTGAGAAGTGAAAAGTTTTTTTTCTGTCACTGTTATTAGTATTTTCTGAGTGAGATTTTGCATTGTGTTGTAATTGGAATAGATGTCACACTATATATATATATATTACATTACACACCCCTGTGCCTAGTGAATGCTACCTATCAGTATCTACCTAGTCTTTCTTATTTAGCATCATCGAAGTTTTACATGCACAGTTTTCCACAGGGCAATTCTTAATTTATGTCATTAAAATGCATTAATTGTTGTTTAAATGTGGTTTTTCTCTTAATTTTTTTATCGTTTTGTTCCCTGGTCATTTTCTATATCTATTGTTGTATTTTTCTTTTTGTTTTCAACAAGAATGTTCAAAGTTTGATTTAAAATAATTTTCTTTCATGTACTCAAATCTTCTTACCTGACTAACATGTTTAGGTATTCAGCGTTTACATGATTTTCATCAGTGGCAATGAGAACACAGTTAAAAAGTTTTTGTTGGATGGCATTGCAAATGACAAGAGTGAAACTTACAGTGTATTTATATATATACATATATATATATACATGTAAATAAACTCATGTTACTTTCACTGTCATAAGCATTCATACAACAAATTTTAAAAACTCACACAAGCAGTGTAGTACGTGAATAGGATGTGACATTTCTTAGCTTAGACGTTGTTCTTCATATGCCAAATATTTTGCTTTCGGTAATAAAATGCCACAGTTATCAGCGATCTGTGTCCAATAAAAACCATTAGAGTAACAGGCTACAGTTGGAAACACAAAATCAATCGTTAATGCGAGGATAAACGCTGGTAGTGTTTCTGCAGCGCTGATCAATGATAAATGTAATACCCTATCTGTCGTTGTAGTGGCGACTATCATACAACCATTTGTTGAACATTCAAAGCCGTTTGTATCTGTGAAATAAGGAATTGATATCTTACAATGAAAATAAATCACATTTTACCCCTCTGTAAAACAGTGGAATGTAAGAATGAGGAAAAAGGAAGAACAATAACCTGGGTGAAAAGTTGGTTCTGGTTTTATGTCTCGGTCACATCAAGACATATTAAGTAATTGATACATCATTTATGTAAATCTCAGCTCATTGTTTGAATACATAAATAATCTATTTTCAAACATTTTATGATAAAATGTAATTTTTGTAAGTGAAAAACATTTTTATCTGTCAAAACCTTAATAATGTGATGTAATACCGTCCCTGCTACGATTCTCAGAATCACAAAAACTATGTAACAATAATGAGTTAAGTCTGATATCATTAGGCTGTATAACCTGAATATAATTCATTTTTTGATAATTCAGCCCTACTGAAGTAATTTGACAGATTTTATGTAAGGTATCAGACTTTCATGCAATCAATCGATTCTGTGTGTAGCATTTAGTAATATGTTGTATCCAATATTTAATTTTCTTTAATATCATGATTTTGCTCTGAACTGTTCATTTACATACTGAAAGAAGCTGGGTTTGTCAGCTTTAATACTGTGTATGTCCTTATATTCTCCCACTTAAATGCCTGTTTTGAAACACTGTCTTACCCACTCTATCATTTGTACAAGCTGGAGACGAAGTTCTTCACCATTTTGACTTGTGTAAAACCTGTGATTACATACGCAAATTGGATGACATTCCATTGTCAGTTTGATAAGTCTGTTCTTCCAGAAATCTCATCTCACAGGGCCACAGCATTTTATAAATTTATAAACACATATGATATGATCCAATTTGAAGTTAGATAGAGGTTGTCAGAATTTGTATAAATGTTATGAGATAGGGTTAAAGATGTTATAAACTTGCATCCAAATTCTTGTCAGATTTATCTGCAAGGTTGTCAGTTTTTACTTGTGTGGCCAAGATTATACATATCGTTCTTAATAAACTCCGTGAATTCCTGGCAAAATCATGTAAATATATCAAGGAGCTTTAGGCCAACAAAAGAATTATATGTTTCTTGTGTTTAACTGATATTAATTAGACACAGAGCTCATACATATGTAAATTTAGAAATCATTTTAAACAAGGAGGCCAACATTACAAATATATCTGTTTCCTGTGTGTAGCTGTAAGAAATAAACTCAGGACACACACAATGGTAGATTTTGAAATTATTTTAAACAATGCGCCAACTTAACCAATATGTGTTTCTTGTGTATAGCTTCATTAAACAGACATAAAACACAGTTACACTTAATTTAACTTTGCTGTGGTTAACCATCCACATGTTCTTTAAGGTAGAATAATCTAAAATCTCTAACTCTTTTCATGTCAGTTTGTTCAGTTATTTTTTTTTTTTTTTTAAATTAAGTTTTAAAATGGTCTTTTCATCTCTCTAGGTACGCATCACCAGTCATGATATTATTTTGTTGGTATTCCAAGATGGCTACAAACGCCTCAAAATAACCAGATTCTTTTCAAATTCATAACAACCAAGGTCAGGTTGATTTTAAAAACATTGAAATATTTTTAGAAGTGCCAGTTTTCTCAGACAGATTGGGATAATGCTTTGCCTTGGGTACTTAAGGGACAAACTCCTTAATAATGAATTAATATGATATCATTCTTCAGAAAAGAAAACAAGAAAAATAGATGACAATAAATAATGGTCATTTAATCAAGATCTAACCCCTAACATGGTTCATGCCATAAAAATGTTAAAGCCAGTTGATGACTTTAAAGATTGTTTACAAATTATCAACATATTTTACTATTTTTTTTTCATTTGCAATAAGAAATATCTGTTACTATTTCATTGACAATATGAAACCTACGGTAATGTCACATTGCTGGTCTTACTTGCTCCTATCTGATACGTTGTCCCAACATTGTAGAATGGAGAACGACTTCTTCTTGGTGCACCAGGAGCTTTTTATTGGCAAGGTAAGTTTTCTTTCTGCATGAGTTGTGTGAAATTTTTCATTGTTGGGGCTGGATGGGAGGATAGATAAGACCCATATCAAAGAACAAGTTTCTCACATTACTTGTCATTGGAACTTCATACTTGGAGTATGGGTTTATCTTGATGAGGCAGTGTGTCCTGTATCAAAAGCAGATTTGCATTTTGAATGCTGACCTAGATAAAGAAAAAATGTTTGTCTTGGCTGTATCTCAAACACTACTTCTCAATTAAAATTTATCTGGCCTTAACTCCTACAATGTTTGTTACTGAAAGTTCATACTTTAGATAAGGGTTCACCTTGGTATAGCAGTTTGTCATGTGTCAAAAGTAGGTCATTCTGACCTATATTTTGACCTGCATCAAAGAAAATGTTTGTCTGGCCAATATTCCAAACATTTCTACTCAATGAGAGTTCATCCAGGCTCTTTTTAATCTCCTACAATGTTTATCATTGGAACTTCATAATTTGGATAGGGTTCATCCTGGTGAAGCCGTTTGTTTGTATCAAAAGTAGGTCAGTCTGACCTACATTTTGACATTTGACCTAAATCAAAGAAAAAGTTAGGGTGACCTTTATTTATTGCACTACTTGTTACTGGAACACCATACTTGGAATGATTTGATTGACTTTGGTAGGATGGTGTATCTTGTAACAAATGTGCCTGGGAGGTAACATTGACCTACATTTTGATCTTTGACCTATGAAAGATTATTAAAGATTATTAAGCAGTGACATGATCAGTTGACATTTGGATGATTGAAATTCATGAATTGTCACCCCTGACTGGATTAAAATTTTATTTCATATCCAAATTTCACTAAAATGAGGCATTATCATTAATTGCTCAAGATCTTCTTTAAAATTTTGCTTCTATTTAATTATTGATCACAATTTCTATAAAAGAATATGTTTACAGTTAGTTATTTAGTGTTTTTTGTATTGGAGGATGAGTAATATTTACTTAAGGTTCAAAATGCATTTATTTGCAGGACAAGTTCACAATATTTATTTGGATAGAGGAAATGCCAAGAAGGAGACAGTTGAAGAAACTCAGGCATCTGATGACAGCTACAGAGGTAAGGTATCTGGGGAACCTAGTGTCAGAAAGTGACATTCAGTTTCATCTAAAGTTGTTGAAAATATCATCATTGAAAAAATGACAGAGGTCGTAAAAGGGTTTCAATACTCACTCATCAAAGGGACAGACAAAAAATGGTTTATTTCACTTTCAAACTGTAGATAAGATAAATAGGGAGGTCTACGATGGACAAACATCAAAGAATTCACAATAATTCATGTACAAAGGTTACAAAATAAAAACCATAAAGAAGTACAAACCATTAAATTCTTAAAGATGGTTTTTATCTGTACAAGACTTGAGCTTGAAAATTTTTTTAGATATGTAAGTTCAGTGTGATACATGATAATATTACTTCTAGATCTGAGCAAGTCAGCACACAACATCTCAAAAATAAACATTGTTCTTTTACGCCTGCTAAAAATGATAAAAGTTCCAGTTTTTATGTGGAAAGTCAATGTCTGGTAATAAGCCCACCTTCAGTTATTTACAGTTTGGTAGAATTGATCGTAAAACGTAATTTTTTTACCTAACAATAATTAACTCTAGTATTTGATTTCAAGTCGAAATTCTTTATCAGTTACCTAGCATGCCTGGATAGATACGAAAAACTCTTTAATGACAGTCACTACAATTTGACGAGGATGTCCAACGACTAGACTTCCTATACATACCTAAAGATCACATACACAATATTTGATTGGTTGTAATTTTTTCTCTGTCTGGTGTGGTATGTAGTGATGTGTTTTCATTTAAAGAAAGGATAAGGGCGAAAAGATTGCCAAATTCAATCTTCTGCTTTTTATTGTTTCTGTCCTGACCTACTGTTAGAATGATATTTTGTTGACAACGTGAGGTGAAGATAGTTTGAGAGAGAGCCGTACAAATAGGGGCTATCTAGCACTTTACCATAAGCCAAAATGATCACAAATTGCACTCTCGCATGTGGCTCTCACTGTGTATTGCTACATGACTGGTATGTTCTTTGTGTTTCAGGTTACTCCAGTGCAGTGGGCAGATTTGACGCAGACGATGAGGATGGTAACGTTCAGTCACTATCAACAAACATATCAAAAGAAAAGATAAATTATATGAAAACATGTTTAATTTTCTTTTCGTTTTGTACCTAATGGTATAAAATTTCTTGAAGATGTCTGTTAGGAAATATAGGTACTTGATCATCTAACAAGAGAGCTTCCTAGTTTTTTACAATAAAACTATTTTGTCTTTAATTTTAAGCCAGTCTTTCAAATTTCATTTTGTAGATTTTGAGATAAAGAGAATTATAATTTCATAAGTTCGAAATATATTGAAATGATACTTGTGGCATTTAATGTGAAACAAAGAAAATTATTTTTGATGATTCAATTAAACCACAATTTTAATTCTGCATCATTTTGAAATCCACTTTACCAGATATTGTAGAGTTACACTATGTAATTCTTGCACTTGGCATTACATTCCTTGAAACTTTGATGCATAAAACAAATTCTTGAAGCCTGAAATGAAATTACTCTGTTTTTGTGAGACAGCAAAACTCATGATTGGATAAGTTGCCTTGAATCTTTTACAGATTGCACAGTAATTTCCTTGGTTTTCATGGTCTGTTAAAGTTCAGGAATTCTATAAATGTTTGTAATCGCAAACACTTTTTCATAAAGGAATATTGTAACATTTTTGACATATAAATTTCATGAAATGTGAAATATGTTTTTTTTTTTTAGAAAAGATGTTATATAAGTAGTTATAATAAAACTTATTCACTTAAGTGTTACAAAGGCAACTCTCAAATCAATACTGGAAATTATATCAAAAACTAATTATTTTTTTTCGCTTGATTTCTTTCAGTCTGATGACCTTTGACCTTTCTATCTTTCAGATTATGTTGTGGGTGTTCCCAGAGCTGAATTTCTGCTTGGCAAGGTAAAATAGAGGTTGTGTAGAAAAACAGTTTTAAAACTTGTATACAAGTTTGAAATTAATTAGTCTTTAGTCCTAATCTCTGTGTGAAGATTTTAATTCTTTGTATAAGGACTGAGAAACCTTCTATATATATAGATATACCACACTTTTAAGGAATTAAAACCCTTATTATATTCAATATGTGAAATGCAACTGCAGACCTGTGGACTACTATTGTATATTGAACCATGCGTATAAGCAAAAATTTCAATCTCAAATTTGTATTTTCTCTTTTGTGATAAGATTGCAGTATTGAGAACATTAGTTTGTAAATGTCAGTATTCTAAGCACCGAATCCTTCCATTGTTATCTACATCAATAGTATCGCAGACAAAAATATTCAAGTGTTAAATTTACAATGTATTGAGACAAACATTCATGGATGATTTGAGCAGTTTGAACGATGACAGGAAGAATGTATGCTTTCAAGAAAAGATGTACGTAAAATTCACAAAAATTCTTGATAAGTGAAAAAGCAAAAGTTGTATGAAATTACGGTTATTTTTTCTCCCAAATTCTCCATTTCAACACATTTTCTTTTGTATACCAGGTGGAGCTGTGGACTCAAAATATGTCATCCATCCGAAACATATCGGGAGAACAGGTGAGCTTCTCACATTTCTTTTGATTGTTGTTAGTTTTGAATTTTTTACGAAAATTTCATGAAAAAGCAAATTCGATATAAAATGTTTCTGGGCATGCAACTTAATTGACAGAAAATACACATAGTTTTAGTCAAAAATGCAAACTAATAATGGAAAATGTATTTAAGGCTGTCACTGTTCTGTGAATGGTACTGAGTTAGAAATTTCACTTTTAGAAATATAATTGCTGTGACTGGAGGTAAAAATTTGCTTTACACATTTCAGGTTGAGGTTTAACATTGCTTCATTATTTTGTTACAAGGGTTTGGCTAGACTGTTTGTCCCTTTGCACATTTGTTAGGAAGTGACAGGGTATTAGTCAGTACTTAGCATTCAAAAGGTGAAACTGAATCTCTTACCCCAAATTATCACAATACCTACTATAGTCCAATCGACATCCAGCTCCATAAGGACAACTTGATTACCGATTACTGATGAGAATAAATGAAAAATTGAATAAATAATTTTGGCTATGGGTTCTTTATATGTAAAATATGTAGGCTGTTATTACTAGTACATAGTGATAAGTAAGTGATCCTGTTATATCCTATGTGTTTCAGTATTAAGTCACTGCAAATTGAGTACACATCTGCTTAAAGACCGATAGGCAGTAGTAATAGTCGACTTAAAACCTGTTAATTAAATTGAAAATAATGTAAAATGAGTCCTGCATATAAATATTTTGTTTAAATTATCTGATCCAAGCTTAACTGATATCTGGCTATATAATTTGATTAAGTAGTCATTTTACAGCAGACCCTGTCAAAGGACCAGTCAATATGAATATCACATATCGCTACTGCTTCTAGTTGATGACTTTGATTTCAACTAAGGACTGTTCAATATTGTGAAATGTTCAATTTTTGGTGTTTTTAACTTATCTGGCCCAAAGGGCCAAGTGAGCTATAGGAATCCAGTGTTATCATTTGTCCTTTGTCTGTGGTAGTCCAGAACACTGTACTGATGGAGATTTTTACCAAATTTGGTCATAAGCATCCTTAGGGGAAAGGGATTGTATTTTGTATGAATAGTGTGTCTGGCCCCCTAGGGCAGGAAGGGAGGAGCTCAATTGGGTAAATGTGTTGTATGTTTGCAACAGTTTCGATCCCTATCCCATTACCATGTATAGCATTGCTGGGCATAAACAGACAAACAAAACTGTGATGTTTGAATTGGCCCTTGGCCTAACCCAACCCCCTGAGAATTAATTTTCTTGTTATTTCTTTGGGATCCCCCTCCTCATAACTACATATAGTATTGCTAGGCATCAAAATATAAGTCATGTTGTAAAAATTGGTCCTTGTGCCCCAACCCAAGGGACAAATTAGTTCCTGGGTTATATCTTTGTTGAGATCGGCACCTCTTTACCATATATAGCAATGATGAGCATCAAGATGATCATGATGTAAGAATTGGCCCTTGGATTTGGCCCCACCCCTCTCGATTTAATGTTGGTGCCCAATCAAGAAAGTCTATTAATTTCTTTAAAAGTCAATCTGGTTCTTCTGCAATCGCAGGATATTATCCAAATTTGATCTGACTTTTTGTAAATTTGAAAAATTGTAAATGATGGGTCTGACAGCCCCTAGGGTCAAAGAGGTGTGGCCCAATAGGAGAAATGATATCAATTTCTTTAAAAACTATCTTGTTCATCAGGAATACCAAGATGAATGTTCAAATTTGGGCTGAAGTATGCTTGGCTGAAGGGAAATCTGTTTAGTATATATAGTGAATCTGAACCCCATCCATTCTCTAGAGCCAGGGACAGGACTCTAATAAGGGAAGTAGAAAAAATTCTTAAAATCCTACTCCTCCATTAGGAGGAATGGTTTGATTTTGCCCAAATTTGGTCTGAAGCATGCTTGGGTGCAGGGAATTCAATTTTAATAGTTGTGGCAGTAAAGGGGATCCTTCAATTTTGTATGAACAAATTGTTGTGAGTAAAGGGGATCAATTTTGTATGAACAGTGGGTTCCGGCCCTGAATAGGGCCAAATAGAGGATATAAAGCAAAGCCTTTTAAATCCTTCTTCTGTTGCAACTGAAGATGTCTTTGGTGAAGAGAACTTAATTTTTTGTACAAACAGTGGATCTAACCCTCTTTGGGAGAAGGGGTGAGCCTATTATGGGGAAATTGATGCAAGTGTTTAAAATAGTTTTCCTTCTGTTTAAAGTTATCAATTTCAGGAAACTAAACCATGTGGGTGTTACAGGCCTTTTGGGCCTCTTGTTTTTGAAGCCATGAAATCTGAGCCCCACAAAAATATATGATTTTTCAGTAACCAATATATGCAAGTGATAGTTTACCTAAATATCCAACTGCGAACCATGATAACAAACAGGACCATTTGATGGATTTATATGACTGTAAAATAAATGAACTTAAATGAAAAAAATTATGCTGGGATTTAACGGAAATCTGTCTTGTGCAGTGTTCATATATCTGATTTCTGCTTTTTGGTATTACACAACTGGTGGCGTTGATGTATACAAATTGGTGATAAGCGGAGACACCGTTGTGCAATCATCTGGTGTAGATAAGCCATCTGCAGTTCCTGAAAGTGAAATGGCATTCCCATAAAAACCTGCACCATATTGCATTCCTCAGAAGATCTGTGTGCATTTTATATATATACCTGAGTTTGATATTTGGACTGTGTTAAATATAGCCCATTACATGCTGCTAGTTTCTATATATCCTATGTGTTATGTAATCAGGTACTGAGTTTGAATTTGGTAGAGTGTTTGTGACATAAAAACAAGCTTTTTATAGAAGCAGAGGCTCTGGTATGTGTCTTATCAGGTCTGAAATGATTGAGTACAGTGTTTGGAGGAAACACTTAATTACGTCATGTGTTAATTGGGTACAAAATACTGCAACAAATTCTCTGTTCATTAATTAATTTTCTCTCATGCATTGTTAAAAAATCCTTTCCTCAAAAACGTTTAAATGAATTTCCTTAGCAGTTTAAAACTTTGTTGAACCTCTGCATCATTGTTAGATAAAGAATATACCAGCTCTTTGATAACAAATTTTTGGCAACATTTTTTTTTAACATTCATTTTGAATTTTTTGAAAAATATTGAAAAAAACTTAGGTAACTTAAGAGGAAACTATAAAACTTAATTCATGAAATAATTGTTAGCCCTTGGGAATATCTTAGACTAGATATCTACTGTGTGTTCCTAACTTATGATGTAGGCTGATCCTGGGTTAAATGGAATCTCACTGCCTGTAAAGTCATTGCAGAATAACATAAAGGATTGTCTATGAGTTATGTTTTGCTGAAAATTGCATTGATAATAATCAGCAATAAAATTTTTAAAGGTAGAAAATTTCGACTTACCTCATTTTAATGCTTTCCAGCTTTCAAGCAATGGAATTTCGTTGTACACATGGATGTGTAAATCACACTGAAATTATACTGAATAACGGAACATCAAACTAGGTTTAATCTTGTCTTTGTATGGAAATTTTTAACAAACCCTTTGTGTTTTTGTAATGAATATATGAAGTAGGGTTCCTGATACTTATGGTACCTAATTTTGTGTTTTTCTGCCAAAAAAAGAAATAAAGAAATATGGTATCCCTGAATGATTTCTTTTCACATCAAACAGTTTTTATTTTTCATAATAAGTATTATTATTTCTTAGATTTGATTTCATATAAAGTATGCAGAGAGGAAGTGAAACTAGAATTCTATAATAAAGGGAAGATGCCCATATGTTTGGAGATTTCAAACATATCAATTATTTGTGAAAATGTTTACTCAGATAAACAAATTGATAGATAAAATCTGCAGTTTGTTTTTAAATGTTGAATATCTGTTAAAATTTGAATAGAGATCCTCTCCAGGTTTTAAAAATCCATGTTTTTTATTTACATGTGATTTTTGGAAAATTCTCAAAATAAAAACATCAAATGATTAAAAGAGTTCAATGTAATAGATATATCTATTTTAAAGAGCTCTTACACTGTAAGGGGAAGTAACTCCTGAAATTTAATTTCAAAATCAATATCATGGTAGTTAGGCTAAAAGGATCAGACTCCATATGAAAAAACTTATTTTACATCTTATTGCTAAAAAAAAAGATTTCCCTTTTCAAATCACTAATCAAATATCTTTTGTGATATTTTGGAACTGTTAATACAAAAATTTGACTGTTTTAGATATTAGTCAAATTCAATATAAATTAAATTAGATTAATTACACCAAATTTATCATCCAGATAGTTATGGCATTTCCAAGTGTGATATTACAGAACTCCCTTTTGCAGGTGATTACAATTATCTTATTGAAAATGCATTTGACATGAAGGTCAGATGCATTTATAACCAAATTTAGTCTGTCACAGAAACCATTCTTGAACTTGCATGAATTGCTCTCATCTGAAGTGTTATGTTGGTAATAAAGAAAGAATATACTGGTTAGAACAAGCTGATGGGTTACAAAGGGAATTATGTATCTGTATAAATGTATAGCTTTATTTTAACCCATCTTAACACTTCTGGTGAAAACTAATGGATGCTATGAGAATTTTTATCACCTTTCCCCAACTATTTGGCACCGTAGCAAATACAAAATTTCAAGGACGAAAATATGAAGGCATTACATGTTACCTATACATAGATAGCTTTGTAAGTAAAAACACTTCTGTTTTTCTTTATGTATACTAAATGTGGCAGCCGTTTAGAAATGCTGGCAGTTACTTTAAAGACCGTTTATATTGGTAACTGATAACAAGTGTAAAAAATTTCATGAAATTCTATTTAAATGTCTAAATGTTTTCAATTTATTTATCAGGGTGCTGACAATTTGATAGTATACTTCATCTCTCAGTCTGATTTGTTAAAAGACATTATATGACATGACGAAAAATACTATGATGAGAAAGAGTGTCTGCTTGAGTTTACAAAACATCATGTCTCCCAGGAGGGTGTTTGTGGTTTTACCATTCGTGTGTACAGAACAATGTTGATCTGGGAGAGTGATTCATCTCATTTTTTCAACAATTATAGAAAAAAAAGGTGTTGAAACATTATTTCTCTTCATAATGTTTCTGTTTTGGTAAGGAAAACAATTTATTGTCCTGATATAAGTAGTGTCGTTTTGAAATTTATTTTCTTTATTGATAGTAGGGAGATATGAAGGCTTTCTTATTACAGTTATATTAGGGAGATATGAAGGTTTTCTTATCACAGCTATATTTGGGAGATATGACATTTTGTATGTCAGTGATATTAGGGAGATATGACATTTTGTATGTCAGTGATATTTGGGAGATATGACAGTTTGTATGTCACATTGATATAAGGGAGATATGACAGTTTGTATGTCACATTGATATTAGGGAGATATGACATTTTGTATGTCAGTGATATAAGGGAGATATGACAGTTTGTATGTCACATTGATATAAGGGAGATATGACAGTTTGTATGTCACATTGATATTAGGGAGATATGACAGTTTGTATGTCACAGTGACATTAGGAAGATATGACATTTTGTTTGTCACAGTGACATTAGGGAGATATGACATTTTATATGTCAGTGATATTAGGGAGATATGACATTTTGTATGTCAGTGATATTTGGGAGATATGACATTTTGTATGTCAGTGATATGAGGGAGATATGACAGTTTGTATGTCACATGATATTAGATATGACATTTTGTATGTCACATTGATATAAGGGAGATATGACAGTTTGTATGTCACAGTGACATTAGGAAGATATGACATTTTGTTTGTCACAGTGACATTAGGAAGATATGACATTTTGTATGTCACAGTGATATTAGGGAGATATGACATTTTGTATGTCACAGTGACATTAGGAAGATATGACATTTTGTATGTCACAGTGATATTAGGGAGATATGACATTTTGTATGTCACAGTGACATTAGGAAGATATGACATTTTGTATGTCACAGTGATATTAGGGAGATATGACATTTTGTATGTCACAGTGATATTAGGGAAATATGACATTTTGTATGTCACAGTGATATTAGGGAGATATGACATTTTGTATGTCACAGTGATATTAGGGAGATATGACATTTTGTATGTCACAGTGATATTAGGGAGATATGACATTTTGTATGTCACAGTGACATTAGGAAGATATGACATTTTGTATGTCAGTGATATTAGGGAGATATGACATTTTGTATGTCAGTGATATAAGGGAGATATGACATTGATGTAAGGGAGATATGACAGTTTGTATGTCACATTGATATTAGGGAGATATGACAGTTTGTATGTCACAGTGACATTAGGAAGATATGACAGTTTGTATGTCACAGTGATATTAGGGAGATATGACATTTTGTATGTCACAGTGATATTAGGGAGATATGAAGTTTGTATGTCACAGTGATATTAGGGAGATATGACAGTTTGTATGTCACAGTGATATTTGACATATCTTCATGAAGGACTTCAATCAACCTCATTATAACAGATTACTATAAAACTCGCTGAAAAAGTTCTCTCTTTATAAGAAATTCCTTTTCATGAATGTCACAATTTCAGTTTCCTATATATAGTAACTGAATATTTTGCCTGCCTTTAAAGGTCAGTATTTTGTGCTACTTTCAGTTGATATTCAAGAGAAATTTGGAAGTATTTTATATATATATTAAGTGACATAAAAAAAGTTTATGTGTGCTAAACCTTAGCCATGATAATGTCTAGAATCTTGTTTATTTTGTATCTGAAAATCATCAAAATTATCTTAAAGCTCTATGCTACCTTTTGCTGTGAATGACATTTTCTTTCTAAAAGACTTCTGATGTAAAGAAACCATTTAATGAATTGTTGGAATTTGTTAAAAACAATTAAAGAATCATAGATTAAATCAAATGTATATTAAACTAATCAAAAGGGAGATAATTCCAAATATCATATTTTCCATTTAGTGACATAGAAATATGTTTTATGCTAAATCTAAGCTATTATAATATCCAGTTTAAGCAAGAATTCCCTGTAAAGATGAGAAAAAACCTTCATTGTTTGAAGTGTGGCATAGGGTATCAGAGTTTATGATATAAGTATTTATAGCCTGTATCAACAGCTGATCACCATGGTAATATTGATGTTTCAAGTAATTTCTGCTTTTCTGAGTGGATTTTACAGACAAGTGAAGACTGTATCTGATAGTTAAGAAGTTGTATGAAGCAGTAAAACAGCTTTTGTAGACTATTGATACGGCTCTGTCACCTGGGATATATAAAACCTCGGAAAATGACTCTACTTTTTTACACAAATGATATGTTAGAAGATAATAATATGAATGAAGGTAAGGCAGATATCTTTGTTAAGGGGTGATTACACACAGACTAGAATTATTTCCTATACAGAAAAGAGAAGTTGAAATAACACTACAAATGGTAGTTCTATGGTTTCCAGGCTATCAACTTGATGAAATACTAAATAAGCTGAGGAATCTAGCTGTCACTGATACCTGAGACAATCAAATATCTCAAGTCTTGACAATAGCATACCTTAGGAAAGAGGCAACAGATATAAGAAACATACAATACAGAAGGCTAAATAGCTGAAATTATAAGACTATGTCAAATTAATCTTGTTTCATTTTTTATTTGCTTTCTGTTTACATATATATCAAGGAGCTTTTCTACAATTTCTTAACTTTATCCTCGGAATCATATCAAGAACAAGCTACAAAACTGATTTGTCTAAATAGCTGAAATTATAAGACCATGTCAAATTAATCTTGTTTCATTTTTTATTTGCTTTCTGTTTACATATATATCAAGGAGCTTTTCTACAATTTCTTAACTTTATCCTCGGAATCATATCAAGAACAAGCTACAAAACTGATTTGTCAGTAATAACCATCCAGCGTTTTATTGTAGAAGACCCAAAGAGAATTTTGTCTGAATATAATCTTGTTATATCACAAATGTATAACTTGCCCAGCAGCTGCATCTGAAAGAGAAAAGCAATCATTATTCTGAATATGTCACATGTAAACTTTTTTGTTTTCTGTGTGATCACTGTTTTTAAATCCAAACATTAACAAAGATAAAAGGCCTGCTTCCATATCTAGTATCGTTACATCATTGACAATTCTATTTAGTAGCTTTTCGAGGTATGTAATTGTGTCTTCTTCTTAAAAAATTCAATTTACATGTCATGGAGTAATCAGTTTGTTCTCCCATGAAAAATGCTCTATTTGTAACTTGTGATGTTATTTGATTATTTATAGGTTTAAGTGTATTTTGTAGGCACCTTGTCCATAGGCAGGGGCTTATTTTGTTGGCACACTATCAGTAAGCTGGGGTATCTTTTGTCAGCACTTTATCTGTTTGCAGGGTTGTACTTTATTGGCACTTTACCTGTAGGCTGAGGTGTAGTTTATTGGCACTTTACCTGTAGGCTGAGGTGTAGTTTATTGGCATTTACCTGTAGGCTGAGGTGTAGTTTATTGGCATTTACCTGAAGGCTGAGGTGTAGTTTATTGGCATTTACCTGTAGGCTGAGGTGTTGTTAATTGGCATTTACCTGTAGGCTGAGGTGTTGTTAATTGGCACTTTATCCAAAGGCTGGGATGTACTTTGTTTTTACATTTTGAATGTACTTTGGCAATAGTCAATAATATTGGCATTGCCGGCTCTTTGTCTATAAGCTGAGGTTTAGTTTGGCATTGCGGACTCTTTGTCTGTAGGCTGAGGTTTAGTTTGGCATTGTCGGCTCTTTGTCTGTAAGCTGAGGTTTAGTTTGGCATTGCGGACTCTTTGTCTGTAGGCTGAGGTTTAGTTTGGCATTGTCGGCTCTTTGGCTCATTGCCGGCTCTTTGTCTGTAGGCTGAGGTTTAGTTTGGCATTGCCGGCTCTTTGTCTGTAGGCTGAGGTTTAGTTTGGCATTGCCGGCTCTTTGTCTGTAGGCTGAGGTTTAGTTTGGCATTGCCGGCTCTTTGTCTGTAAGCTGAGGTTTAGTTTGGCATTGCCGGCTCTTTGTCCGTAGGCTGAGGTTTAGTTTGGCATTGCCGGCTCTTTGTCTGTAAGCTGAGGTTTAGTTTGGCATTGTCGGCTCTTTGTCTGTAAGCTGAGGTTTAGTTTGGCATTGCCGGCTCTTTGTCCGTAGGCTGAGGTTTAGTTTGGCATTGCCGGCTCTTTGTCCGTAGGCTGAGGTTTAGTTTGGCATTGCCGGCTCTTTGTCCGTAGGCTGAGGTTTAGTTTGGCATTGCCGGCTCTTTGTCTGTAAGCTGAGGTTTAGTTTGGCATTGCCGGCTCTTTGTCCGTAGGCTGAGGTTTAGTTTGGCATTGCTGGCTCTTTGTCTGTAAGCTGAGGTTTAGTTTGGCATTGTCGGCTCTTTGTCTGTAAGCTGAGGTTTAGTTTGGCATTGCCGGCTCTTTGTCCGTAGGCTGAGGTTTAGTTTGGCATTGCCGGCTCTTTGTCCGTAGGCTGAGGTTTAGTTTGGCATTGCCGGCTCTTTGTCCGTAGGCTGAGGTTTAGTTTGGCATTGCTGGCTCTTTGTCTGTAAGCTGAGGTTTAGTTTGGCATTGCTGGCTCTTTGTCTGTAGGCTGAGGTTTAGTTTGGCATTGCCGGCTCTTTGTCTGTAGGCTGAGGTTTAGTTTGGCATTGCCGGCTCTTTGTCTGTAAGCTGGTGTTCACACATGTGCTATTGTTTGTAACTTGTGATGTTATTCATTTTTTCTCTGTCTTTAGATTGGAGCATATTTTGGATATGCAGTAGCAGTAGAGGATTTAGATGGTAACAAGTAAGTAATTCTCTTCATTTAATCATATCTGCCAAAGTTATTACAAACAAAAGCAAAAACAATACTGAGAGATCAACAATTATAAGATATGTAAGGGCTTTATATGCTTAACTATAAAAACGAATGACTGGAAATTCAAAGAATTGATCACTGAGAATGTAATTTTATATTCATGGTAGAGATCACTAATTACCAATAGCAAGCCACAGCTTTATATGTGGAAATGTTAGAGATTTCTAAAGGACAGAAAGGTCATTTGAACGGCTATGTTTTATATGTATGGTATATCAATCATTGGTTAATTTGCAGAGTTACTGCCCTTGTTGGTTTATCATCTCTGTCTGGATTAGAATTAAAGTTGTTGTCCTTGTAATTGACAGATTTACTGTCCTGGCTGTTCTATCTACAGTTTTCTTCCATACAATTACATTAATGAGTTAGATTACAATTATAGCGTTTAATATGTTGCAGACTTGATGACATCATTGTTGGGGCACCGTTTTACTCTGACTACAGTTCCACGAAATCCTACGACACTGGAAGGGTCTATATCTACTACCAGAATAAACAGGTATGTTTGTCCCATCCGACTCTGTACACCTTCCTTCTCTCAACCTCACTGACGTTTGTTTTCAGTATCATTAGTATTCTCCAATCCAAATTAATTTTGTTGTCCATGAAAACTTTTGAACATGTTTTAAATTCATTTGAGTTGCAGATAATAATCAGCCTTATCAATGCTAATATGTGAATGGAGTGCATTCTGACTTTTCTGACTTTGCAATTTCAATTTTTCTTTTTTATTCACAAAAACTTAATTCATTGCAATAACTAAGGTCTGTGAAGTCCTGGAATGAATTATTGCCCTTGAAGCAGTATTCTAATTATAAAAATGTTTATTTTAACGTCTAACTACATTAATGTAGCTTATCTCTGAATTTCTTTCGTTCAGACTGATAACTTGTGACGATGATGATAGCAATAGCTAACTCTGCTAGATATCTTCTAATGCTTGAATTCTTCTTTAGCAATAATTTAACATTGATGAAACAATGAAGTGGAATGTTTAGAATTATGATCAGGATTAAATTTTACAATAATCTTTTGATATTGTGTTAGAGTAGTAATATAGTGACATCCCTATGAAATAGTTCTGGTATTTTTAAGCTCTTTAAGTATTTTTCTATAACCTTGAATGTTGTACTAACAGGAATCAAAGTAGTTCCAACCTGACAACGCTCCACTATTTTTCTGCCGAGTTTCAATTTATGTTTCAAATCCTCTTGCTGTTGTGATGTGTTTATTTTTAACCATGACCTTGACATTGTCAGGGCGAGTTCTCAACTTCAGATACCTTAGAGACGGAAGTTGTAAGTGTATAATACTGTAGTCAGTAACTGGATATGGGCTGAGGTCAAGGTCACTCTTACCAACCACTTAGTTTGTTTGATGGCACTGGTCAACACCAAAGTTTTCCTTCATATCACAAATATCTAGAATCTTGTTTATTTTGTATCTGAAAATTATCAAAATTGTCTTAAAGCTGTATGCTACCTTTTACTGTGAATGAAATTTTCTTTCAAAAAGACTTCTGATGGAAAGAAACCATTTAATGAATTGTTGGAATTTGTTAAAAACAATAAAAGAATCATAGATTAAATTTTTAGGAGTATTCCATATGTATATTAAACAAATCAAAAGGGAGATAATTCCAAATATCATATTTTCCCTTTAGTCACATAAAAATATGTTTTATGCTAAATCTAAACTATGATAATGTCCAGTTTAAGCATGAATTCATTGTAAAGATGAGAAAAAATCTTCCTTGTTTGAAGTAAACGCTGTGCGGTATAGAGTATCAGAGTTTATGATATAGCCAGTGTCAACAGCTTATCACCATGGTAATATTGATGTTTCAAGTATTTTATTAACAAAATGGTGATGGAAATATCAAATATTGAATGTTATTTTAAATTTTGATTCAAATAAAATTCCATCTGTGAAATTATTTTCATTTTGATTGTTACCATGGTGACATAAGTTTCTAAGTTTTGGAAGACGACCTCCTTATCCTCTTTAGTTTATCATTTTTTTGGTTATAAATAACTCCAGTCTAGGTTAATAAATCCAGATTTACTAATGGGCTTTTAATGCTTAATTTTCTTTTGCTTTTTCTTTAGTTTTTCTTATTGCTGGTATTTTATTGCCTGGTAATAAAACTTGTCCATCTGAAATGTCAATGATTTTGTTTTGGGTGAAGTTCTTGATCGGCATGACTTAATTTGAATATCTGACACTTAAACCTGTGATAAAGGATGCCTAGTATCTATCATTGACATTTCAAGTTTGACAGTTTTTATTTGCAATTACGTTTTGGCTTCCATATAAAAGGAATACATTGTAATTAAATTAAATGTTTCCTGGAATTAGAATTTATCTATTACTGTGGTTTTACCTATAATTACAAATTATATTCCATTTTTTATGATAAAATGTATTGAATGTTGAATTAATCTGAATTATGAGCAATTCATGATTTTCTAATGGAAACAAAAGCAGGAAATGTATAGTTTGAATCTAAAAAACAAATTTGTTTTGGAGATAAAGAAATGTATGGAAGCACATAAATGTTAAAATGATTGGTGGAGGGCTTTATAAGTGATCATGGTACTGACTTCCTCTAAGCATGACACTTTTATTTTAACGTTTTCCCTAGATAGGCATGCACTGAAAGGTAATTATGTATAGTACATTAAAGGCAGTGTCATTACTATAGAAGAAAATCAGCACTCAATATACGATACACTCGGGGAACAAAAATTCTATGCTCCTCATGAAATTTATGTAACACACCTTTTATAGTATCAAACTTAAGAGAGAATGTTTATCACACTCAGGAAGGGATAATCATTCACTCAGGAGAGAATGTTTATCACACTCAGGGAGGGATAATCATTCACTCAGGAGAGAATGTTTATCACACTCAGGGAGGGATAATCATTCACTCAGGAGAGAATGTTTATCACACTGGGGGAGGGATAATCATTCACTCAGGAGAGAATGTTTATCACACTGGGGGAGGGATAATCATTCACTCAGGAGAATGTTTATCACACTCGGGGAGGGATAATCATTCACTCAGGAGAGAATGTTTATCACACACTCTGGAAGGGATAATCATTCACTCAGGAGAGAATGTTTATCACACTCGGGGAGGGATAATCATTCACTCAGGAGAGAATGTTTATCACACTGGGGGAGGGATAATCATTCACTCAAGAGAGAATGTTTATCAAACTCAGGAAGGGATAATCATTCACTCAGGAGAGAATGTTTATCAAACTCAGGAAGGGATAATCATTCACTCAGGAGAGAATGTTTATCACACTCGGGGAGGGATAATCATTCACTCAGGAGAGAATGTTTATCACACTGGGGGAGGGATAATCATTCACTCAGGAGAGAATGTTTATCAAACTCAGGAAGGGATGGTTATATACCTCCAGTGTGTGATATTTGATACAGGACAAGCTTGTCCAATACTGTGTGATATTTGATACAGGACAACCCTGTCCAATACTGTGTGATATTTGATACAGGACAACCCTGTCCAATACTGTGTGATATTTGATACAGGACAAGCTTGTCCAATACGGTGTGATATTTGATACAGGACAACCCTGTCCAGTACTGTGTCATATTTGATACAGGAAAATCCTGTCCAATATTCTATGATATCTGATACAAGACAACCAAGTCCAATAATGTGTGATATTTGACACACGACAACACTGTTGTCCAGAAAGGCTGGACAATAAACTTGATTTTATCAATTATTCAATTAGTAATTTGATAATTTCAGATGAATAACTTCAATTTTTGAAGGTAATAGTTTGTTCGACATAGAAGATTTTTCATTTTCATATTCTGTGTAAGAAAACTTTATCAATTGTAAGTAACATTGTCTATGTTTGATATCTATGACCCAATATTATATTACAATGTAACTACCACTGGTAATAAAGGACGGAATCTAATGACACAATACTTAAAGAGAAAATTGAACAGAGCCCATATCTTCATTGTTGGGAAAATCTACGGGTTATTTGATGTTATGTCAGTGACTTGTATCTGAGACAATGGGAAGTGATTCTGTAGACACTATAGCTGTAAGGGCAATTTTGTTTTCTCCACTAAAACAATTCACCACAGTGTTACAAATTGACATTGATTTGGTAGCTTGAGAGACAAACTCAATAATGATATCGTATGTAAGAATGGAATTAAATGCCTTATTTTAATCAAAGACTGTAAACAATGACTACTTATCTATAGAAAAAACATTATTTTTGTAAGATTTTGTATATTACCGGTTTGATACAGGTTTATTAAATACGAAACTGATTTAAGATCAGAGTAGGATACTCAGCTGTACAAATGGGCACCACCATACTTGGGGAATGTTTTTATAAAAGATGGTTATCATTCCAAATAGGAATAATTGATTAAAAGTTTTATTTAACTGCCACTGCAAGAAAATTGCAAGAAGTCACTTCTTCTTTAAGTGAGAAATTGCTTCACAATAAATCTGTAGCTCCTTGGCACTCCTTGTTTGCTCACCTGACTGGAAAGACCAAGTGCCATGTCACAATGTCCAGCGTCGGCTTTTCCATTCAAACAATTTCTTTTCAATAATCAGAAGACCAAATGTCATGGTAATTGGCTGGTTGGTTGCTAGGATGAAGCCTGACAAAGTTTGTGAAAAGAAATGACCTTGACCCTTATTCATTAACTTCTTCTGTCTAACCAAAAGTTGCAGACGCAGGGTATTCAGCAGACAGGTTCCTAGGATGAAGCCTGACAAAGCTTATGATCGAAAATGACCTTGACCCTTATTCAAGGTCACAGGGGTCGGATCTACTAAAACGTTGGAAAAACTTCTTTTGACTAACCAAATAGCACAGAATCATAGTATTTGATTGAAATATTTTTAGAAAGAAGCCCAACAAAGTTTGCTAAAAGAAATTACCCTGACCCTTATTCAAGGTCATGGGGATCAAATTTGTTAAAACCTTAAAATGACTTCTTTTGACAAATCAAAAGGTGCAGAAGCATGGTATTTGGGTTCCTAGGATGATGCCTGACGATTTTGACAAAACGAAATTACCTTAACTTATGTTGAAGGTCACAGGAAACCTTTATGCAAGGAAGCAGGATATTTGGTTGAAAAGTGTTTTTAGGTCAAAGCCCAACAAATTTTGAGGAAAATTAGAAATTTACCTTTAATCCAGGTGATAACCATCACTGTTGAATGTTAGAAGCTGTTTGTTGTGGAAATTGATTAAAATGGATTGGATGTACCCACTTTGAATGCCAGTGGTGTTTATGTCTACATATTTGTGATATTAATGCTGATTCTGTTTCTGATGAACATTGAATACCAGGTGAGAGATGCAGGCCCATTGGGCATCTTGTCTGTAAATACTCACCATCCAATCAGGTGGAGCAAAGACCCCTGAAATGTACATTTTGCCTATGTTAAAGACTCTCACGCACAAGATACAAGTACATGGGTACCAAACAGTAATTATCACTACACTCCACCAATTGCATGTCTTGATTCAAAACCAGAAAAAATATATCATGCCTTTATCATAAAGTAAATCAATTCACTCACTGATATATATGGTTTTTATTGATGCATTAAGATCTCATGATAACTAAATCAATTTTTAATGTTGCTGTTTCTTAATCTTATCCATAACAGAGACAATTTCAAGAAAAAAACAACAACAATAATGAACTTTGCAGTATATCACTTTTGGATACATTTGCAGTAGTGTATGTTTGATCAATTCAAAGGACAAAAAGTGAATGTGGGGAAAGCCTGCCATTTCAACATAATTCTATGAAAAAAATCAGTCATTTTCAGTTTTGAAATTGAGGTCGGTTTATTCTAGGATAGAGCTTTTATATAATTATTGCTGGAGGCAGAAAGAATATTGAAAATTTTTTTCTCATACATGAAACAGGGAAACCTCATCAGCTTTGTGGTGCTACATTATTTTATCTTGATGGATCTGTCTAGTACCTTAACACAATATTTGATATCAAAATTAAATAATGTCAGATATTGTCTTTCTAAGTACAAAGGGAGACAATCTAATTGGATAAAATTTTAAGATATGAAACTACTTAAATAACGATTTATCCAAATTTTGAAAAAATATTGATGAGAAATCTCAGGATTGGGCTGACATTCTGTAACATCACATTCTACACTTTAGATTGACAAAGATTTTATAGTAGATTGTCAGGCCATGATTCTGGGCTCTTCTGTTTATAATCCATCTACACCTGAAGAGGAGCTCAAGATCACAGTATATATAGCAAAGAAAAAATGTTTACAGTGAAATACACATTATTTTGATGCTTATGTTTCATGTGTACGTTCAATATGATATATCTACAACAATTGAAGGCAACATTGAAAAATTTGTATACAGATTTATAAGGTAATTGTGCTATACTTTTTGACAGAGACAGTTCCGGCCAAAAAGACGAACAAGATATGATATTTTGGATGGTCACTCTCCCAAGTCTAGGTTCGGATCAGCCTTAATTGGATTGAAGGACTTAAACATTGATGGATTTAAAGGTGAGTGGTATTGTATATCAATTAAATGTTTATCAGGAAATAAGCAAACCTGTGTGAATGGATGTCCCTTGATTGTCATATAATAAGCCCGACTTTCAAGTTGAAGCTGAGATTTTGTAATTCCCATGGGCTTTGGAAGTCGTCATGGAAACGGGAACATTTAATCTTGAAATAAGTTTACATTGAATAAGAACCTAATTTACTATATATAGATAATTTACATTTTATTGCTGCATTCCTGTAAACAAAGATGGAACTGAATATATTTTATGTTTCAGATCTCGCTGTTGGGGCTCCATATGGGGGCCGTGAAAATCGTGGAGCAGTTTATATCTATCTTGGATCAGAGAGGGGGATAGTGACCAAGGTTTCACAGGTAAGAATGATTAAAAAGCTGTGTAAGATTGATATCCAGAATCCAGTTCTGGCTGATACTGAATTAAATAGTATATTTTAGATAAATAGAAGTTTTTATTACACAACCAGTAGAAGATTAGAGTGTGATGTTTGATGACAACATAGTCACCTTCATCAGACAAATGACCAGTGTGGAGCGTACTAGTACTGACATAGGTAGTTTACGAGATGGTACAGAATTGAGCAACTTTTTCGGCTGCACAATAATCCTATATACACTAAGGTTGTAAATAGTGGGACAAAATTGTAAACAGATTATAGACCAAAACATACACAAGACGGTAAGAATGTTCTGTAGTCTATTTGGCTACACTTTGTTTAACACTTGGTCATAGACGTGCAAGAGTCTGTGGCCTCCATGTGAAAAGGTTGTTTACCATGTCAACTATTTTGGAATTTTCTCAGTCAATGATATACAGCTCATGCATCCCAGTTGGTATACACTTTCTTTGACAGTCTCTTTAGATGTTAAATCTTTAGATCGGACTAGGATATTTGTCTTGTGTAAGGTAACATGACCACGGTAAATCCTTTAAATGTTTTTAGTTGACAGGACATGTTGTTCTTTTCCTTGGCGGTTTGTCTCTTAGTTTTTTTTGTTTTATCAAATTCATTGCTAACTTTCTGGATTGCCCTGTCGGGGTTCCACATGATTTGACGTCGTTATGATTGACGTTACCAACCTGAAGAAAATGCTCCGATATGAATAGGGTAATAATTATCATTGGCTACTTGTTTCAGTATGGAAACATAGCAGAGAAGAAAATTTGATTCTTGTTCTCTCAATGAATGTGTACACAAATATGCTAATTTACTACGTATTGCAGAGATTTGGGTGTGTTAAGAATGGTGCTATATAATTTACTGAGACAGGATTGTACGTACCACTGAACATCATCTGCAACTCCAGATGGATGTAATATCTGAGAAAAATCTGGTTATTGAGATATTTCGGACCAAACATGCAAAAATTGACATTTTTTCTCAAATTTCTCTACCACTTATTATATCCTTTTAAAGGGAATTCCTCCATCAGACGTCATCAATAGAAAACTTACTCTGTACACACATTATGTTATTTTCCTTCTAAGAAAAAAACCCCAGACTTTTTATATCTGTGTAAATTCACTTACCAATATTGAAATATGCTAAAGTCTGGACATTTTGATGAAGACAAATACCATTGAATTTACCTGGAATTTCTTTCATAAGAAAATTTGTAATGGATTTATAGATTAAACCCCCTGGGTGCACAGTAATCAACAAAATTTAAGTGACCTGATATCATATGAAACAAAGTCAGCCAACCAATGCACTGCAAACAATGAAGTGATACTTGTTAATCCCAGTTTTCAATCTTTCCCAATCTTTTTTCATTGCAATCAGAAAAATGAAGAAACTTTTCTCATTCTTTGATTCAAGATTCTTCTCTTCTCGTAAGCCATCTATGATAACCCCTTAAAGTGTCGCCCTAGTTAAACATCATCACCAGTCCTTTGTGTATGTAAGATGAAATAGTCATTCACAGGAAATCACTTTATATTGAGCTGATGTGATTAACAATATATGACTTTAATAGTCATTAGTCTGAAGATAGTTGGTTGTGTCTAAACTAGATTCTATAAAGCTAGATTAAGTGTACAACTGAGATTTGTCTTCTTTCATTTAACTCATATCACAAATAGTTACATTATTTCAAAGATTTCAATAGATAAAACTATTTCTAAGTAACCAACTTGACAATGGTTAAAATAACCCAAAGTGATAGTTTGGTTTGCAGATCAATAAGTTCTTATACATTCAGAGATCAATGTGATGTGTAAGGTTAAAGGTCAGTGTAATTTGTTAAGTTAAATGTCAGTTATATACATTTGTGCCATGTTCTCTGTTGATACAGGTTATAGAAGGTGCTGACCTTAAACCAAACATTGCAACATTTGGGTGGTCACTCTCTGGTGGACTGGATCTGGATAAAAATCGATACACTGGTATGTAATGGTCAAGCAGATAGCAAGGTTACCATAGTTCATTATTCCAATTTGCCAGTAGTTAGGGAAACACTCTCGTCTGAAGTTGATTTATGTATGATATCAGTAACCTAAGGCTTAATAGATATGCTCAATAACAACTACAACGAAGTACAACATGTGAACATAACTAAACAATCCAAACACAAATTTAATCAAACTAGGGCAAGATATAAACAAAAGAAAGATTTACATGGACACTCTAGATAAAAAGTATAAGCTATAGGACCAGGTGTTCTGGAAGAGTAAGCATCTTCTGCTTCATCGACAACACCTGCAATTTAAACCTTGGTCAATTTCAGTTAGTAATGTCATGTCCTCAAATGAGAATAAGGTATACAACATCAGAGACAGCAGGCAAACTAATGAGCATCAAACACATCCCAGCTTCATATCACACAAAGAAATAACAGCCATAAAACTTTCCCAGAATTTTCATCAACTTGCATCTCATTAAACCCTGTAAAATGAGTTTTTCTGTCAGTTGATGACAACTTGCATGAAAATATTGATATTGAGAACAGGCCTTTGGATATCAAATCAACTGTGACCTGTAAACGCCACAGGTTGTGGATGCAGGGATGGTGCTTTCCAGAAATGGAAATTTCACAATAGAGAAATTGAAAAAGTCATGCTTATAGTATAGCTTGGTGGAAAGCTATGTTGGTTTTCTTGTACTGAGGTAGCCAGGATGTAATTTATCAGGCATTAACTCTTCAACTGTAGAGTTTTATCTTTCCAATGGTGTATTCAATTTTTGTGCCACCTTAAAATTACAATTATGTGTAATATCACTTGATTCTGAATGCTAAAAGACTTCAGTGATAACTAAATTCCACCTTTGTTTCGGCAGATTTACTGGTGGGGGCATATTCCTCAAACAATGCTGTATATCTAAAGTAAGTACTATGTCTATGTACAGGTATGCTGCTTTATAATTTTTAGATGCTTTTATCCCTGTTTAAGTCACATGATCACTAATAAGATCAAATAAAAGTTCATGGAGTATATGGATTAATCAGGACTTAATTACTTTATTTACTCTCATTTTGACCAAAAAATGTAAACAAGTATTTTAAGATGTTTCCTGTTTCATTTCTTTTTTACCACCTAAAATAATTTTTGGATGCAAACATGCAGGAAACTATCATAATCACTTATTGTCTGCTAAATGAAGAACAATTAAGTTTATTAAACTAGTATCTAGCTCTACAGGTGGATCAGGCAAAAGTGTCATTTAGATGCTCTACCTGGTATTGAAGGCATGGGCAGAGAACTTTTCACAGTAATTAGAAAAGAAAAAAAAAAGTCTAAATTTATGTCATGGTTGTTATCTTTTAACTAATTCAAAATGTATACAGGTTGATAACTTTTCATTACTAGTAGAAATGTAAATTTAATACATTTCTTATTTATATATCAATCATTAAAACCTGTGTTATCATTTCCAGAGCTCGTCCCATTGTGTATGTGGCTGCAAGTTTAAAAATTGACCCGAAGAAAATTTCTCTTGATCGTAAAGTTTGTAACTATAAAGGACCAACGTCTAACCAGAAAGTCACATGGTAGGTATCCATGAGTCTGATTGGATTGTCCAACGTCTTAATTATCAGAGATGGGAATAATTCATTTTCATTTCTCATAATAACCAAGTTTCTAATAACTGATATAAAAATTTCAAAATATTTGATAATTAAGTCTGTAAGAAATGAAGGTCTTAGACCCACAAAAGAAAGTGTATCCCTCGCTGTTTTAAACAGTTGGTTATGTTTGTCCTATTTTCTCTTTTTATTGATCTGTAAAAATCCATTATAACATATATATGATTATTAGATAATTGATAATTATCCTGTTATAGGCCTGATGGCCAAAACATCAAATTTGACTTCAGGAAAGACGCACTTATATTGCAGGACAATCAAATAGTGTTTGTTCTATGCATTGATCAGTTGTTGGCATGAATATAGGCTTTAAGAAGAGAAATATGGCATATTCTTGAGTTGATTTGATCCAGGTAAATGTCCAAAATGGGACATTAATGACTGACCTCCTCTGTTTCAGTGTGACATTATTTACTTGTATAAAGTACGATGGAATAGGAGTACCTCGTCAGCTAAGTAAGTATCTCTCAATTTGTTCCGAGTTAATCTTCTGTAACTTTTTACTGAAATGAAAAACTTTGTCACTCAATCTCATTAAGATTAAGATATTTGGTCATCAGAATACAAATTCATTCAATCGATTGTTTTCAACATTTCCTGTTTAAAAAAGTTGTCCTGAGTTCTAAGACCATTGGTTGGCTGTATTAAGGCTGTTTTACTGGCATCAAGTACTAGGTGCTTTTGTTGTAGTTTAGTTAATTTATTTATCTAATGTGACAATGGCTTCATTTGCTAGTTAATCAATATAGAAAGATAGCAGCGGTATTTAAAAATAACCTTAAAAATATTTAAGGTAATTTATGAGGGAACAGAATGAGTTTGTCAGGCTTTTAAATGTAGTTATCTTGTGATAAATGATTGGCATTTTAGGCATTTTTCAATCATTTTTTTCAGTTTTCATTAAATAATTTTTATATTTTACAGCTTTTGATCTATCATGGAAGTTTGATGTGGATAAGAAAACTTTGGATGCCAAACGTTTATACCAACTTAATACTAACCAAGTGGTGGAATATGTCAACAATAAACGACTGTCCAAAAACAAGGCGTGGTGTCAGAATTCTTTTGTTTACATCAGGGTAAGTGTGAAAATACTATACAGCTCATAAAAAACAAGGCGTTGTGTCAGAATTCTTTTGTTTACATCAGGTTAAGTGTGAAAATATTATAAAGCTCATAAAAAACAAGGCGTGGTGTCAGAATTCTTTTGTTTACATCAGGGTAAGTGTGAAAATATTATAAAGCTCATAAAAAACAAGGCGTTGTGTCAGAATTCTTTTGTTTACATCAGGGTAAGTGTGAAAATACTATACAGCTCATAAAAAACAAGGCGTTGTGTCAGAATTCTTTTGTTTACATCAGGGTAAGTGTGAAAATATTATATAGCTCATAAAAAACAAGGCGTTGTGTCAGAATTCTTTTGTTTACATCAGGGTAAGTGTGAAAATATTATAAAGCTCATAAAAAACAAGGCGTGGTGTCAGAATTCTTTTGTTTACATCAGGGTAAGTGTGAAAATATTATAAAGCTCATAAAAAACAAGGCGTTGTGTCAGAATTCTTTTGTTTACATCAGGGTAAGTGTGAAAATACTATACAGCTCATAAAAAACAAGGTGTTGTGTCAGAATTCTTTTGTTTACATCAGGGTAAGTGTGAAAATATTATATAGCTCATAAAAAACAAGGCGTTGTGTCAGAATTCTTTTGTTTACATCAGGGTAAGTGTGAAAATATTATAAAGCTCATAAAAAACAAGGCGTTGTGTCAGAATTCTTTTGTTTACATCAGGGTAAGTGTGAAAATACTATACAGCTCATAAAAAACAAGGCGTTGTGTCAGAATTCTTTTGTTTACATCAGGGTAAGTGTGAAAATACTATACAGCTCATAAAAAACAAGGCGTTGTGTCAGAGTAAGTGTGAAAGTATTATATAACTCATAAAAAACAAGGCGTTGTGTCAGAATTCTTTTGTTTACATCAGGGTAAGAATGAAAATATTATATAGCTCATAAAAAACAAGGCGTTGTGTCAGAATTCTTTTGTTTACATCAGGGTAAGAATGAAAATATTATATAGCTCATAAAAAACAAGGCGTTGTGTCAGAATTCTTTTGTTTACATCAGGGTAAGTGTGAAAATATTATATAGCTCATAAAAAACAAGGCGTTGTGTCAGAATTCTTTTGTTTATATCAGGGTAAGTGTGAAAATACTATATAGCTCATAAAAAACAAAGAACATCTTGGCATGATTCTGACAACAAAACATTTTTTCTCCAGAATGACATCAGAGACAAGCTCACACCAATTAATGTCCAGTTTGAGTTTAAACTTAAGAAGAGAAGCCTAGCCCGTCGTCGAAGGTCATTGCAGCCCATACTTGACCAATACACACCTACCTTAGTGAATACCACGGTAAGCTGTCATCCGCATATCAATCAGAAGCCATATTGGAAACTTAAATGTATTTATTTACCAGAATATTGTCCTTTCCTCAAACATAGGATCTGATGTTTCATTAAATTATGAATTAATGTTGGTATTCATACTGTATATAAAGGTAATTTTTATACCCATACGTTTCACGGTTCGAGGCTTTTATCACTACCATTGGCTGTCATTGTATCACTTAGTGATAATTTTATTTCCTCACATTTACCCTTCAACAGATACAGGGGCTGTAGTTTTGTATATAGTTGTATAAAAATGATATACAATTCAGGATATGATTTGGTAATTGCCATTTAATTTTCAGAAGTCGATGAAAAAAAGACCAAACTAGTAATGAGAATTTTAAAACACTCCTTCACAGAGTCAATAACACTAAAATCTACAAACATCTCCTTGGCTGGTATCTGGGGTATTGTTGTTTCACCTAATTTGTGATTCCATTATGATAATTTTGTAAAAAAACACAAGATTTATATATATCTTATAGACAGTAACCAGTTTATGATAACGTTGTAAAATTGATGTGCATCTCACCATTACAGGGTCACATACAGAAAGAATGTGGAGAGGATGAGGAGTGTATACCAGATGTATGGGGTACAGCCTACACGTGGGTATTTTCTCTGTTATAGTGTAACACTAGCCTTAAAATTATAATTTGATTAAATTGATGTCCTGCATTCTATTCCTCTATCATTTTAGTAGATTGTTGCTGAAAGTTTCTGTAACATATTTAGATCATTCATCCCTACAGATTAAGATAGGAAAATTTGTGTGTAATATAAGAATTTCAACTGCACAGAGGCATATGGAGACCAGTCCACAAGGAGTTCAGAATTCTGTAAGATATTTGGAAGTAAGAAACTTGACAGGGACTCTCAGTGTTTTATTGAAATGTTAGAAACCCCTTGGATCTGCTGACATAGTTGGGCAGGCTAATTTCCAGATTTCTCACAGCAGGTTACTATAAAGGTAGAATTAGTATGGTCAAATGTGAAATTTTGGTAATGTTTTTGTTGTTATTTATCTTTAACTGAATATGTTGTAGATTCACAGACAATGTCAAACTTGGCAGCACCAGTAACATAGACATTGTCGTCCATCTTGAAAACCGTGGCGAGGGTGCATTTGAGACTATGTTGTATATTGAGTTACCCAGAGGTGTACAGTACAATGGTATTCAAGACAGAAAATTCGTAAGCATTAAATTAAGTCAAGTTTAGAAGTATATGATCTAGGATATGGCCAACACGATATTTTAATTGTAAAATTGTCATTGCTTCAATAATTTCAGTTTTGTTTTTTGAAGGTGTGAAATTATTATTTTACAAAAACTGTCAATGTCAGCTTTGAAAGTAGAGTATGCTCAAAAATCTTATGTTTGTGTTTGTGAAATCGTAACATGTTAATTGTTCTTTCTTTCTGTGAAGCGTAAAAAAAAATTCATGACTGCAGATTTAATTATTTGTACTGAAAATTGTTTCAGACCATTCCATTTTCCTGTGATAGATACACTACCAACGAAACTAACTTGGTCACCTGTGATATGGGAAATCCTCTCCCAACCAGGGCAAAGGTAGATAACTCTTACTTTGTGGGTACTGAGGCTGAATGTAGAAAATATCCTTGGTAGTACATTTCTAATACTGTAGATTTTAGATTTCACAAATACATGATTTCATGAACGTTAATGTAGAAATGACTTTGGATTTTGTGAATGATGAAATGATAAATACATTGACTCTGAAAAGGTCCCATATCGGCGATAGATAGCTACGTATTGGCTGCCATTTTGTTTATGAGAGTCATGTGTCTATACATAGAAAGTGATTTAGTCATGTGATACATGTTGTGTCCACATAAAATTGTATTTAGCTGAGTACAGGCTCGTACTCAAACAAAAGAAAGGAATGTGAACACTCCATATGCTTTCATGTTTCAAAAGTGAAGTGAGTTATGTTCAAGATAAAATGACAGGACTTTTGGGACCAGATGGTAAACAGATTATAGACCAAAAAATACACAAGATGGGGACAATGTATTGTAGTCGATTTTTCTACGCTTTGTTGAACACTTGGTCATAGATTTGCGAGAGTCTGTGGTCCCCCTCATCCCTGTTTAGTACTGGTCCACTACCTCGTATCCAGATGACTTCCTTAACCAGCCGCCTGAAAAAGTCGCTTTCCTTGTTGACTTTATTGGAATTTTCTCTGTCAATGAGGGCCACAGACTCTGTGACCAGGTGTTCAACAAAACATAGCTTAATTTACTACAGTTCATTGTTATCATCTTGTGTAATGTTTTGGCTGATGAAGGTGACTGTGTAGTCATCGAAAAACCACACTCAAATCTTCTACTGTGTTATAAGAACTTCTATTCTATTGACATTAACTGCCTGAAGAAAATGTTAAAAAATATCTGATATTTTAAAATATTTTAGCACCTTCCCAATACAGAAGAAGTATTGGAGATTTACGTTTATATCTGTTGTGGCAGACTCATCTTCCGACATTTAGCTAAACATTTAAATGCTGCCATCTCACGAAGATCTACAGTCAGCAATATGGGGATGTTTATACAAAGTTCTTAGATATTTGAAACTAAAAGATGTCTAGCAGATTTGTTTGTGATAATGTGACAAGGTTTATATACAATGAGCGGAAGTGTAAATAATAGTGCAAGTAAATCAATGATGGCACAACAAAGATGTTTCCAAGACTTTATAGAAATGATTGCAAAATTAAATACCACACAAAATAAAGATAACTTTTAGTAACAAAGATTTGCTATTATGAATTCCTGGATTTCATAGTAATCAAGCATATCCTGAATTTCTTGAAACTAATTTTGATTAAATTAAGAATTTGTTTGAAATGGTGATAGTTTAAGCATTATGAATTAATGTGTAAACTGAAATTTATATTATTACTAAAATCTTCATTATTGTGTTCTAGGCAAACTTTACCTTACGTGTAACTCCAGGAGATATTGACGGTAATATGGATCGTCTTAGCTTTAAGTTTGTTATCAACAGGTAAGCTTTGAAAAGTAGTCTTCATAGGCATGTGTATAACATAGTTTACAATCAATTATCCTTTGTTTTTAATTTCCTTTGTATTTTTAACTTATGGCGTATCACAATATTTTAAATTTTTGTTTTAACTGTAAAACAAAACAGTATTTTAATAATGTGTGACAATAAAAAACTGCAGCCAATATTGGTCTATAGCAAATTGAAACCATTTAAACCTGCTATTCAGATCAGAACAGGTTGTTGGTACAGGCCTAATTGTCTAGTTGCTTCATATAATCAAAAGGAAAATAACTTCATTACTGATTTCTTCCAGATAAATAAAACAATGGTTGTAGATAGTAACGGCAAGAATTTACTCCTATGTATTACCATATTTGTTCCTAGTGTGGTTATAAGCCCATTGTTAGAACAGACAATGCTATTTTTCATTGTCCGATAATAAGCCCACCCCTTGACTCTAGCAATGTGGCAGCTTTACTATGGAAGTTGGTAGTATTCTAGGAATATTTAAGGTTACTATATTTGCGATCAATAAAGATGTTGTGAAATTAAATACCAGCAGACATTTCTACAGTGAATGGAAATCTCAGAATGGAGATGGTATGTCTGTGTACATGGACACTAGTCACATAAATAGGAGTGAAATTTTATACCTGTGAACTAGCTCAAACTGGGACAAATATCTGTTACTTCTGTGTACATGGACACTAGTCACATAAATAGGAGTGAAATTTCATGCCTGTGAACTAGCTCAAACTATGAAAACAACCAAATATTAGCCCCAGAAATTTAACAACTGTACAGTAAATATATATATATTAAGTGGAATATCTTTACAGTTCCAATGCAGAGCTCAACTCAACATACAGTGACAACACCTTCTGGGTCACCATTCCAGTGATACAGGCAGCAGATATTATTATCATAGGTCGTCTCGGTGCTAATCAGACAGAGCAAATCGTATACAATGATACTGGGGTTGCTGCATTCAAACACAGCATCTACGGGCCACCGGTCGTACACGAGTATGATGTAAGTCAAAATCCATTGCTCATGAGTTTGGCTAAGCTTGTTATCAGTTAAGAATTTTAAAAACGCATTGTAATTTGTTTTACCTACCCAAGCCAATTTATAGGGCTGGCATATGGTGTTATCAAAATGTCCATCCTGTCTCATTCCTTCCTATTCCAAATCATTGATACATCTAAAGAATCTCTCAACACAGATTTGGTTCAAATTTACCCCATATTATCATAACATCAAGGTCTGCACCTGGGAAGATTCCTGTTTACATAGCGGGACTGCCATTAATATTTTTCAGATATTTTGTTTTTCATTGAAACTGAGTTTTAAAATCTCAATTGGTAATGATTCGTTTTTTATTGTATATCTGTTACAGGTGAGAAATCTTGGACCCAGTGACATCAAGGAAAGTATGATTGACATTTATTGGCCGAGCTTCGATGATGTTGGACGGAATCTTCTATACCTTACTCATACTCCAGAGGTCATAGGTCAACAAAATAGTCTCTGTGAAACCATTGTCATAACTCCATTTAACTCTTCTGTAAGTATAATTAATTTGTGAAACATTGCCATATATTTTTCTTCTGTCTCTGTCTTAGTTATCTAAATCCTGAGATCGTGATTAATGTATGAACTTTCCTTTTCTGAATCATGTTTTTTCATGTGGACAAACCAGTTTATCAACATTTTGAATTAATGTTTTATGGATAGATTGTTACAAACCTGCAAATATTAATGTAGGCCTTGAAAGGCTTCTCAGAAAACATTAATATTTGCAGGCCCGTCATTATTTCATTAACAAACTACCTTGATAACAGCTTTGTTCCCCTCAATTTTTAATGTTGTAAGTTAACTCCCTTTTCCTATCCTCCCCAGATAGTTTTTGTTTTTAGTTATTTCCCTTTTCTTGTTCTCTGATTTTGATGTTGTGAGCTCTCTCCCTTTTTCAATTCTCCTCTGATTTTCATAATATGAGTTACTCCCTTTGGTTTGTGGCCCCTGGGCACATAGCAGGTACAGGGTCCAAAAGGGGAAATTTTTACAAGTTTTCTGAAATGAACGAATGGATATTATCTAAATTTGGTCTGAAGCATTCTTGGATGTCTTGACTCCTGGTGCAGGAGGGGCAGGGCCCAATTAGGGAAATGTTCTTAAAAATCCTTCTTTAGTACCAGGATATTGTCAATGTTTGATCAATTTTAATGACTAGTTAATCTTACTTTTGTTTGACCACAAGGCCAGGACCTTAGAGGGAAATTGTTTCAGAAATTATTTGTCAAATGTGAATTTCTTTGTTCAACGACTAAAAAGCTGAATTAGCCAGCTGAGTGATGAATGTTTCTTATTCCACCTGTTTGTTGTGACCTATCTCCGCTTTCCTGTTCCCTGATTCTTTTGTTGCGAGTTATCTCCCTTTGAGAAATGATTAATAGTTTCTAACTACCTTGACAGTTGGTGGTGTGGTACGGTGAATTCAACAAGGAAGGACAGAAAATGGATGTTGTGATGGCAAAACATCAGGCAGAAGCTCACAGAAAACGCCGCTCACTGGATGCACAGACAGGGTCAAGAGTCAGTCGAGACAGCACCAATAAAATAGTAAATATATTCTGTTTATCTTGGACATCATCATGATGACAGAAATCTACTAATGAATAAAATGATTAGTAAATTGTTTAGAATAGAGAAAGATTTCTCGTTTGGTGGTTTTGATTAAAAAATGTTTGTTTTTTTTCTATGTATATTCAAAGGACTGTAAGACAGGTATTTTATGGAATGATAATTGAATAGGCAGTATGTAGGAAGTTTTATTGTTAAGTAACAAACAAGGGACATTATAACAGATGTTATATCATATTGTTGTACAAATAAGGAAACCATGACATTACTCTTATACTGACTGTAGTAATCTAAAATTCTGGTTTGATCTTTCCAGGTATGTAACAAGAATTGGTGTACTATCATTAGATGTAAGCTTGGATACATGAGACCTCAGGACTCGGCTGTAGTGAGGATACAATCTCGAATCTGGACCGATACTCTTGTCAAGGTAAAGATTCAACATTTATTACGGTTTTAATGTTGTTCCCTACTGTAGTCATCCAAGCTGAGAAGGTTATCTTTAGGGCTGTACAAAGTTTTCTATGATAATTTTACACAGTGAAATGTTGACAGAGGTGATTAATTAACTCACCAATCTTTTTTGTTTTTGATTACAGAGTGGACTGACTAGTGAGCCTTACTTAATAACATCCCAGGCCGTAGCCGAAGTTAGGAAAATGCCATACAGCATACGAGTAGCCAACCAGACGTATAACGTAGCCACGTATGAAGTATGTATTCACACAGTGACATAGTTGATTTTATTGTATCTGAAAAATCAAGAAATCCCACAAATGATGAAATTACATGAAGGTTGCTTGCTGATGGCCATATTTGTACAGTTTTACCAAAATTTTGAAGTAAAAACCATCTAGTTTTCATGGAATTCAAATTCATAAGGCAGTATTTGCTTTTCGCGATATATATCTTATTTTCATTTGTATTATAATTTTTGTTTTTTTTTAGCGAACACAGTTATTGATTTTTCATTGGTATTTATTTTTCGCAATAATGGTAAGGAAGTTTGGCTACAACAGTAACTTTTTAAAATTGAAAAACAAGAAAAAATTTTGCAGAGATTTTGAATGAATTTTTGCAAAACAACTTAAGCTGTGTTTTAAAAGCTCTGAAATTTGAATCTAGTTGATGCAGATTGGAATGGAATTTAGGCTCGTTTTTTATTGCGTGATCATTATGTAAATAAAGCAATGAATCAAAATTTGACTACTTTCAGATTGGCTCCTATGTAAATGCCAAAAAATTAGCTCCACAACCAAAAGCAGTAGAACCATGGATTATTGCTGTGGCAGTGTCTGCCGGTCTCCTCCTACTGTTACTGTTGATAGTTCTACTGTGGTGGGTAAGTAGACTTAACGACAAAGTTAGAGACTACACTTTATTTCCACAATGTATTTTTGACATGACTGGTTAACTGATTATCTGGAGATGGAATGTGCTGAGACGACATATTGTACCCACAACAATCAGCAGCAAGTAATCAGCTCATTTATTCAACAATAAGCCCATGTTAAATGATGTTGTAATAAGCCCACCCATTTATATTGCTCTTCAGTAAAATCATATTCCAATGCTATGTCATTGTCCAGTAATAAGTCCATCCAATGACTTTTGAAGTAAGAAGTAATCTGTTTGCCCCTGGGCTTATTTCAAAATAAATATATACCATATTTATAACCACAAGGGGTGGGGACGACTTTCTATTACCGCTGTTTCATATTTAGGAATTATTGGATGTCTTAGATATTTTTTCTTCCCTAATGGTCAGATTTTAATAATGTGTACTGCTAGTATGACATTTAAGTAGTTAAAGTTACCTCCCTTCTCTCTTCACTCTAGAGATACATAGATTAGAGTGATGACGTGTTAGATCTTGTGATGATTTCCAACTAATTTTGATTACGTAAAATTTACATTCCTACATGTTCAAAGTTCTAACAAGAATCAGAATCTTAAGCTGTTTCTTAACGACATGCATAGAATGATTTTTTTCTATTTTATGTTTTTTTAAGCATTAGAGGAGATTTCAGTTGCATGACTGACCTGATTTCTGAAGAAATAACCTGTTTTTCTCTTCTAAGCTTCTAATATATCTGAATGTATGGAAATCTACATACATTTCTTTTCACACTTCGTCTATCTGCTTGCCTTTCACTATGGTATATTAGTATGTATTAGCAGTATCTATAGTCTGTTGTATTTAGATGTAACTCTGTAGGCTGACATCAATATTTCTTTTCCTTTCTAGTGTGGATTTTTCCAACGGAAAAGGCCGGAAGATTAACCACTATTCTAACGCCTTAGTTCTTCTGCCTAATATCTGTTATAAATCTCTACTAACTTGTCTTAACACTGATTAAACCATTTCATTTTTCAGCTGCCTAACTCATCTTTCTAATACACCTGGTTTGAACCTCCGACTGCAGGTGCAGCTTTGATGAAACACATGTTGTACCATTATCTATTACTTTTCTTGTAGCTGAAATTGATTATAAATGGACCTGCAATAAATATAAAAGATCTGATAGTCACAGAATTTGATAAATTTCAATACAAAAATTGTTTCAAAAAATTGTTATTCAACTTTGAGTAAGAAAATCAGGTTATTGACAAGATTTTAAGAAATCTAATGGTTCTCCAAAAACATTATTGTACACACACAAAATATCAGGAATGTTAGGGACCAATTTAAGTGGATTCCAAAATCTCTCACTGTAAGTAGTCATTGTACTACAGATTTGACAGGCTATGAAGAACATATATTCCATGTATTTCTTAATTTGCAATAAAGCATTCTCTTTTCCTCAGTTTTCAAAGTGTTTTCTAGTGTACGATTAGCCATTATGTCATGTAAACTTCAAAATAAAACAAACCTACATTAAAATTTATGAAAACAGAGAGAAAAGGGAAACTTTTTGACAGAAATTTGTTATGAATGAAACTTTACATAAATTTGTTTATATCAATGGTTATCTGTGATCACAGGAAAACAATTTTAAATATGATAGATATCTGAATGACATATCATGTCCATCATCAGAAGTTTGTAAGAGTGGACTTAACTTTTATCAGAATCCTAGACTTCATGTTATTTATTGGAATAGGTATCAAAATTTGGTTTTAAATTGTATAACCTCATGTGATTTTGGCTGCATGTGTTTGCATCTGTTACCTTGACCCTCACCAAGCTTATTTGTCTGTAGAAGCTGAATGATTGACCACTGGTCAGTTTCAGCTAAGTTCCTTAAACCTTTAGTCCATATCTTCAACTGTAAAGCCAGCAAATTTCATCTTAAGTGATCAGCTCTAAGGCAGAACAAGGTATACAGTTCTGTGTGCAGTGGATGCATGGTTTAAGCATGGAGAGAATCCAAGAATCGAAAAGCCAAACACTTTTAAAGTTATGGTCAGATTTTTGTTCGCGATGAACTTTCAAAATTTTTTTTTTTGTAGAAGTTACGCAAGTGTTATCACAAGTACCAACTGTGTATATCAACATCACACAAAAATTCAAGAATTACATTAATTTATTTACAGTAAGGGTTGTAATAAATTTTATACGGAGGTCTTCAATATCTTGGTGGGGTTTTTAATTTTGATCAAGAGGGTATCAGGTATTTTCATGTTTATGGAATAAATATCATTTAAAATTGATCATTTTCAGTACATTTGTGATTTCATAGAATACATGGAATCCACTGCCAATTAAATATAAAGCTATGAAGTAAATGCCCCTCAAATATTAATTATTAAACAAATACAAATACAGAGCCCCATGAAAAAATGTGATAAAACAGATGGACACAGAACATTGAAGGTTGAAAATAGGAAGTATGATTCATCAACGATTTAAGGTTCTTGTACTAAAAATTTAAGAGGAGCAAATAACATAGGCAACATGATAGTATCATCATGATCTGTGAAATGTTATGTAGATAACACCTGATTTTAGTATCTATATTTTATATATACTAAATATTTGACCTCGCTGGAATATTATGTCACATGAAGCTGAAATGCCTTGTCAAATAGCATCCAAATTTCAAAAATATAAACTGAAAAAAAATCTCAATGTACATTTAGATGTAACTTTGAAATGAAAAAAAATATGCTCCAGTTAATTTTGTGAGTCAGAATAAGATATTTTACAATTATTTCCCCAAGTCATACAGGTCATAAGGACTGATCTACACAGTTTTGACCTAGGTGAAAGTCTCGCATTAAGATAACGCAGGTTATTGTATTAGATAGATTAATCCGTATGAATTTAAAACACCAATATGATATTTGCACTCTTTTTCTGTTGCCGTTAAAATCTGCAGGTAATATTATTTTGGACACTTCTTTGGTGACTCTGTTAATGATAATGTAAACTAGTTATCAAAAGTTGAGAACAAATTTAAATGAAAATTTATTGAAATTGAATTTCATTTTTCTTGCAGTGTGGATTTTTCCGAAGGAAGAGAAGAGAACATGCAGAAACCTACGCCGCAAAGCCTTTAATAAAGAATGGAGCAAACAACCCTAAATATGATATCAATTCTAAACAGTATGAATAACTCAAAGTTTCTTTTTAGGAAAATTGGTTTATTTGAATAGAAATGGATATTTTTCAAATTATAGATAAATTTTGGAAATCAAAATTCCAAGTGGAGAACTATGAAAACATTGGTACAATATACATGTTAACAATATTGATATTTCTTAGTATTTCAGGTTTTTTTTTTATGTTTTGGCAAATAACAATCATCTTATCTGTATGTAGTCAGTGGGAGATCCAGAAACCAGGAGGAGGAAGAGGGAGGTGGGCAATTTTTACCAGAGTTATTGTTCCTAATGTTCAATATGTAGGCTACTGCGATCACATTAATTATAAGAGAGATTCAGGAGGGGGACATGGGTTATTGATTTCCTGGAGATAACGTTTTATTTCGAATTTGCAAGATATGTGTAATTTCTGTACCTTGGATTTATGTGATGTCCAGAATTGGCATTTCAGAAGTCTTTCACATATTGAAATATGTCTTGAAATATTTATAGATGATTCAACATGTATACACGCACAATTACATGAAATTTTGATATTTTCTAGTTTTTTTCTGTAAAATATATTGCCCAAAATGTCTCACAGAATCCAGGATGTGTACCCTAAAGTATTGGAATAACACATAACATTATTTATTCAAAACTTATGCCTGATAAGATCTGGATATTTGTGCCAAGGTTAGAACCCACTAAAGGGATTCTCCTTGTGGAACAATGATATATAGTTCTTATTACATATTCATGGGTTTCAGTAGATAGAGATTTACAGGATGATAAACGGATCAAGGAGCATGTTTATATTTTAATTTCTTTGCCAATAATAGATGTGATTGAAGTCATTTTTTTATATAGTTTACCTTCATAATATAAGATTCCATACGTTTGAATTACAAAACCAATATTGCCAAGGTTTCTGATGTTTCTTAGGAATATTTGAAATTATTATGATACAATGATTGTCTATCTATCTGAGAAAGTTGTAATTAAATAACAGGACTGCAGAAAATGTTTACACATTTAAGGAATGACTTTACAGCAGGATGGCCAACCTCAAGTTATCTAATATCTGGTCTTGGTCATTCGTGATCAAGAGAAACAGGGTATTAAAGAGTCATCAATAAAAAGGACCTTATAATTAATTCTAATGTTATATCAGCTGTATGTATTGATATGTTCTATGTTATGTTTGAACATTATTTTTCAAATACTGCACAAAAGTCTTGAAATATCTGGTGATTGTAGCACTTTCCACAATTTGAGAAGACGAATCCTAAGGTCAGTATCAGGTTGACCTGATGAAATCAGGTGAATTAGTGATACTGTTGCAGTTAGGATATTTTTTAGTGTTAAAGGCAAATCATCCCTTTCTGAACTGAAATCACAAATTTTTTTTATTACAGGTGAATTTTCTGAATTAACTTGTAACATTAGCAAAATTATTGGTGTAAAATTATCCCAACATTCATCACATTAAATCATAAGTATAAAAAAGGTTCAAATAAAGGTATAGTCCAGGTAAGTTAGAATTATGGTAAAAAAACATACTCATTGATGTCACACAGTAATTCAAACCAGATATACATTTTATGAATTTTATAGATACATCGTATTGAAACAGAGAAATTAATAGCAATTGGTTGTCTATTTTTTTACAAGATAGGAATTATTTTGTAGCTAAAGTTAAAGGGATATGTTTAGTTATTGGAACACTGGCAAAACTTAGATTTCCGTGAATTAAATGAATGAAATTGTAACTTATACTACCATTTGGTAATTAAGAAATATCTTTCTTATCTCAAGATGGAATTCAAAGGGAGATAATCAAAGCGGAAGTCAGAATATGTATACTTTAAAGATATATATTTAACTTAAGCAAAACACAAATTAAACACAGAGCTCACCCTATTTACACTAATAACTGAAGTATATGATTTTGAGGTATGTAGCATCAACTGTCATGATATATGTTTCATTTGTGTCCGTCATTTTAACGCTGTCCCAAGTCAAGATTGATATAATCTATTGTTGTACATAATAGTAGAAGTGTTATGTTGATGATAATTTAAATATGGGAAAGATTTTAATGTTGGTTTTTTTTTCAGTTAATTTATATCGGTGCTAATGGAAATGTTCTGTTGCTGTTAATGATTTAACCCTGTATTTTTTTAAAACCATCTCTTTCACTTTCTTATTTGGTTTTCCGCCATTTTATATACCTTTGTGTTCAGTGTGTTTTGTGTAACAGAATTATATAAGTTCGATTTAGAATATAAAGAAATCAAATTTAACCTCATTTCAATGTAAGATATAAAAAAGTTTTTAATTCAAATTGCATTAAGTCTAAAGAGTTTAATGAAGTTTGTAAGTTTAATCATTTATATCATTTTTGAAATGATATTAAATCACCAAACATGTTGAAATTGATATTTTCATTCACTGAATTTCACTGATTTAGTGCTGTACATTAAATTTTGATTTCTTTTTAACCAAATGAAGACATAAGAAAATATTTTGCTTATTACAGATTACTTCAATATAATACCTGCAGCCATGTTTATGTAAATATAACCTAACATTTTCTTTTTTTTTTCTTTTTTAGTTCTTTGAATGAAGACCATAATCAAACTTTTTTGATATACATTTTTCGTTGTGTGATAAAAAAGATATTTTTCCATCAGATGAATACACTTTTAAATCCAGATCATTTGTTAGAAAGGTTTAGGCTTTTTCACTTATTTTTTGTAAACACAAAATCCCAATTGTTATATCACACCATGCACAATAAGAGTTGGAATATATTGTTTTCAGAACCCTTGAGATGAAAATCTGTGTGCCATTAATCATGCTGTGTGTTTTGACCAGGTACATATGTACTTAAGTTTCGTGTATGAATGAATGTATGATAGGAATATTGTGTTTATTTATAATCTGCATCATCTTCATACTCAGCTTTACATAAATGCTACACTTCATCTGGTGAAAATACAATGAAATGGTCTCAAAATGACAGAAATGTGGAGTATGTCATTGTATTTGGAAGAAAGAGCAATTTTTTTGCTAATTGGAGCACTTGTTCTTATAGTAGAAATAGACTGTTTGAAAGTATACTTACTGGTTAAAAGGTAGCTTTTATCTCTTTTTGTCCGTCCAGTTCATATCTCGCCTCTCATGATCATATGTTGATTTAAAACCTGGAACATTTACAACAAATAGGAATTATTTACTTAACCATGGAATACATGTATTGTTGTATGCATACTCAATATACTTATACATAGTCCGTTTAAATGATAGTGAAAGGTTTACCCATCTTCCATCATCAGCATCATTATCATTATCTGTTTTTATCTATTCTTTAAATAAACAACGATCTTAGCTTACTTGGGTTGTCCTGAAGATCAAGATATATTCTAAAATGGAATAATTTAAAACTCCCAGTTCTGTTTTTATTAGATCTTTTAGATTAATTATGGCAATATGATAATATTCTTAAATTTCTTTAAATTTCTATAAGTAAAATACAGATCGAGAATATTTGTCACCCAAAAAAGCATTTATACATGTTTGTAACAAGATCTCCAAATGGTGTAATGAATAACAAGCACAGAAGTTCAGGATAATGTTTGTCAAGGAGGGTGGAAGTGCTGAAACATTTTATAACAAGTGTATTCCAATAGACTGTTGAAATTCATATTAAATAAAAGCTATGACATTGTCAGGCTCAATATCCTTGAAGTTGTCCTCTTTGTTCACGAGATTTATTTTCACAGGATAAATCAATAGAATTCAATTTTCATTTTGTAATGTTACTAATTTGACATCCAGTACAATATATATTTTTTGTATTAGGCTTTATATAGTTATGCTGGATAGAAAAACATAGATCAATTTAAGTACATTTGAATTTTTTTCTTCCTGGCAACAGCAAATATATTGTAAAGGTTGATATTTTGAATGATTAAAATGTTTCAGGGTTTTGCCTAAAACTGAAAGCTGAAAATAGATGTGTATATTACATAAGTCCTGAGATAGGCACAGAAGTAGTTTTTCAGTGTTCTAATTTTTGCCAGTTTATTTCATCCTCAAAAGAGCAAAGAAAAGAACACCCTTTATACTACCCCACTACATTTAACTATTCAGTGACCACTGTATGTAGCGATTGACAGGTGCTTACAAGTATTCCAGTTTGTATAGAGTTTAACATTTGTAGTCATTTAATGTACAGTACTTATCATGAAAGACATCTTTTTTGTACGTTTGATATAATATTGTGCATTGTGTTGTTGTAAAGTATCGTAAGTGATGTATATCGTTATGAAAATTGTGTGTTTAAGAAAACTTATTATATGATCATTTGTTTGTATATGTACGGGGTTCCAGACACAACAGCTCTAAAACCACCACAAAAAAATTCTTTCAGTTGTTTGCACTCCAAATATTTGCTGTATACCTGTAATTTATTCTGAAACATTGTACTATAGTTAATCTGGAAGGATGCTATATCGAATTGAGTCGTAAGACAAAATAGGTTTTATCCATTGTTTTTTGTTTTCTATGCAATTAGCTGTTTTATCATTCCTAGAGCAGTACAAATGGGAATGGGTGGTAGCAGACAGCTTGCTGTCACGTGACGTTGAACAAAAATACCCCTAAAATCCAATTAATACTTTAGCATAATTTTTTCGGATCAACTATTATAACCATCCTGAAACATAAATAAACACCTGCTCATATTCAGATATGAGTCAGAAAAAGATAATTATAATACAAATGATGGCATATGGATGAGGTTAAAAATTGGAATAACTGAAAGAAATACCTGCTACAACGGTGTACTAATTGTTTATCTGATGCACTTGTCTAGATGCATTTATTTTTGTGATATATAAATATTTTCTATATATATGTTGTATATTATAACATGTACACTATGTCCACCTTGACCTTGACTGAATCAGTGTAAAATGATTGTATATGTTTGTATATTCAACATTGTAGTTACCAGACTAATGGTTTTGCCGTGCATTGTTGTCTGCTCGTGTGTTCGTGTTTGAGTGTGCGCGTATGAAGGAGATAAGTAATTTATACACGAGATGAACGGAAATATCTGATGTATTTCAAAGAAAGAATGGTAAATGTTCAAGTGTTATGTAGTCTGTTGGATTGTAATATAGTACTATATTAAAATATACTTCCTCTAGAAAAGCTAAATTTATTATAATATGACGTTTTGTATACTGATTTATTATCTGAATATTCACTTTACTGACTATTAAAAAATGTTTACGTTTTAAGGACAAGTGGTAACATTTTCAAATGATGAAATTTTATTGAAACATGATAAAACGCAAGGGCCATGAATGTAAACATTTTACATGTAAGTTTGTAGAGAGGATGTGAACGTAATTGGGATTTTAGACAATGGATGTGATCGTAATTAAGTGTATTGACAAACGATGTAATCCTGAATGAGTTTATAGGAAACAGAAGTTTGTAAATGGACAACGGAGAGAAATTTGAACACTTTTATTGACAAGGGACGTAAAAGTAATTAAGTTATTGCTGATTGATTTAAACGTAATTAAGATTATCAAGAATGGATGTAGCTGTAATTCGGTTATATACAGTTAATGTAATTAAGTTTATGTACAGGGAATGGAAATAATTAAGACTTTGGTTACTGATGGCAAAAATGTAAAAGTTATATCCTTTTGTCGCCTAAGGATTTATTTCTAAAAGACCATACATATTTACACTTATTTCATGATGGATCGACTGCATGTGTGTATTTAATTGAATGTAAGACAATGTATCTTGTTAGGGTGAGTATGTTAGTTTCGAATTTGTGTGAACGATTCGTAAAGGTTGGTAAAGGTCATGTTGCGGAGTGATTATATGTTTATGTCTGTAGAGTATTAAATTGGCGTAACATTCACATGCTAAGATGTTTAAAATAAACTGATTTTTACAAAATCGTCTTCATATCTTAAGTTTGTTTACCTTAATGTTTAAAAATATTCAACGTTTCTTCTTAGCCAATGTCTTCATGTCTTCATCGAAAAAATGTTGACCCATGGTATGTTATAGGAGTGTATAAAAGTAGAAAATACATTGAAACTTGGTCAAAATATGGCCAAATGAAAGATGCGACCATGTGTTCCGAAAGGGTAAGTCCCTTATTCTGCTTCGTCGACGACTCCAACCGTGTCAATTTTGGTCATACCAAGTAAAAGAGTCACGTTCCAAGATGAGAACAAGGCATAATTATTACATAAGTAACTATTTGAAAGTACGATAACGTTCGACTTTACTTCATTTCCTTTTAGTCACAAGGAAACGCCGCTAAATCAAAATTAACCAAGACCAATACCTTCAAGATAGTCTGCATATGAGAAAAGGATGGCCCAGCTGACAATCTACGCATTATAGAAACCCTTACATTAAGATATTGTTATGAAGGTTCCTACCAGTCGGTGGACTCCGTCCATTGATAAAGAATAAACGATTATGTCTGCAGAACTTTAATAGATATCTCTATACGTATTCTAAACACAAAAAGTTAGGAATCTTTTTTTAAAGGTACATTTATTTGTATCAAACGACAAAAACATTTGGAATATGAAATGCAAGAGTGACGTCAAACAATGAGAAAACAGTTTGACGCAATTTGAATCTGTTTCATTCTAGCGTGGCGTGCATGATCACATAAAAAGTTCTAATCCCTCTAAAACAATGTCCCAAAGACGCCGCTGGAAATTCAAAATGTTCAGGTGGTTTCATCAACACTGATAGAAGCGAGTTTGTCCTCCAGTGGCAGTAGCAACGGCGCGACATCGGCTTGGAATGCTGCCGTCGGGCACACATAGCTTTTTGTGGCATTCGTGGCTATTTTTGACGAAATGACACTCTATGACACATTGTAGTGTGCAATTTTAATTGTGATTGCCCTGCTTACAGCATCCCGACTAATCGGCCAGTCTCTGTAGGTATCATGTGATGTCTCATGCTATCAAAGGTTGTAAACAGGATGTAAAATGACAAGGCATTTAGAAGAAACAAATTTTGTTGATTGATTTGACATTAAGTCTACACAGACTTTCAATGACACCACAATTAACTGTTTGATTTTAATCCCGTGTTACACGATGTCTTGCCGCACGCTTACTGTAGGTTACACGAGGAACTAATTACTGAAACATTATTGTTCATTCATTGTGTAAAGCTTAACATACTTGACAGGAAAAAATCACATTTATTTATGTTCCTTAACTTTTTGTGTCCAATATAACACTATTTCTCTTATAATTAGGAAGTGATAAGAGTACATACAGTGTTCCTCCTCATTCGTTGCCTAAATTTTATTATTGTTTATACATTTTAACATTGGCTACTTGTCCAAATTTTACCCAAACCTTCTGTAATATTAATGGAGTTAATCCTATCAGCTTTTGATCAGTGTAGAATAACATCTCTCAAAAGAACACCACACACACTTATTAACTAAAGCAACACCAAACTTCTTAACTAAAACAACACTATACACACTTTTTAACTAAAAAAACACTATACACACTTCTTAACTAAACAACAACATACACACTTCCTAACTAAAACAACACTATACACACTTCCTAACTAAAACAACGCCATACACACTCCCTAACTAAACAACACCATACCCACTTCCTAACTAAACAACACCATACACACTTCTTAAATAAAACAACAATATACACACTTCTTAACTAAAACAACACCATACCCACTTTATAACTAAAGCAACAATATATACACTTCCTAACTAAAACAACACCATACCAACTTTCTAACTAAAACAACACCATACACACTTCTTAACTAAAACAATACCATACACACTTAATAACTAAACAACACCATACACACTTCCTAACTAAAACAACACCATACACACTTCCTAACTAAAACAACACCATACACACTTCCTAACTAAAACAACACCATACACACTTCCTAACTAAACAACACTATACACACTTCCTAACTAAACAACACCATACACACTTCCTAACTAAAACAACACCATACACACTTCCTAACGAAAACAGCACCATACACACTTCCTAACTAAACAACACCATACACACTTCCTAACTAAAACAACACCATACACACTTCCTAACTAAACAACACCATACACACTTCCTAACTAAACAACACCATACCCGCTTCCTAACTAAAACAACACTATACAAACTTCCTAACTAAACAACACCATACACACTTCCTAACTAAAACAACACCATACCCACTTCCTAACTAAACAACACTATACACACTTCCTAACTAAACAACACTATACACACTTCCTAACTAAACAACACCATACACACTCCGTAACTAAACAACACCATCCACACTTCCTAACTAAAACAACACCATACCCACATCCTAACTAAACAACACCATACACAATCCCTAACTAAAACAACACCATACACACTTCCCAACTAAACAACACTATACACACTTCCCAACTAAACAGCACCAAACACACTTCCCAACTAAACAACACCACACACACTTCCCAACAAAACAACACCATACCCACTTCCTAACTAAACAACACTATACACACTTCCTAACTAAACAACACTATACACACTTCCTAACTAAACAACACCATACACACTTCCTAACTAAACAACACCATCCACACTGCCTAACTAAACAACACCAAACAAACTTCCTAACTAAAACAACACCATACACACTCCATAACTAAACAACACCATACACAATCCCTAACTAAAACAACACCATACACACTTCCTAACTAAAACAACACCATACCCAGTTCCTAACTAAAACAACACCATACACACTTCCTAACTAAACAACACCATACACACTTCCTAACTAAACAACACCATACACACTTCCTAACTAAAACAACACCATACACACTTCCGAACTAAACAACACCATACACACTTCCTAACTAAACAACACCATACACACTTCCTAACTAAACAACACTATACACACTTCCTAACTAAAACAACACCATACACACTCCATAACTTAACAACACCATACACAATCCCTAACTAAAACATCACCATACACACTTCCCAACTAAACAACACTATACACACTTCCCAACTAAACAACACCACACACACTTCCCAACAAAACAACACCATACACACTTCCTAACTAAACAACACCATACACACTTCCTAACTAAACAACACCATACACACTTCAATAAAACAACACCATACACACTTCCGAACTAAACAACACCATCCACACTGCCTAACTAAACAACACCATACACACTTCCTAACTAAACAACACCAAACATACTTCCTAACTAAAACAACACCATGCACACTTCCGAACTAAACAACACCATACACAATCCCTAACTAAACAACACCATACACACTTCCTAACTAAACAACACTATACACACTTCCCAACTAAACAACACCATACACACTTCCTAACTAAACAACACCACACACACATCCTAACTAAACAACACCATACACACATCCTAACTAAACAACACCATACACACTCCCTAACTAAACAACACCATACACACTTCCTAACTAAACAACACTATACACACTTCCTAACTAAACAACACCATACACACTTCCGAACTAAACAACACCATACACACTTCCTAACTAAACAACACCACACACACTTCCTAACTAAACAACACCATCCTAACTAAACAACACCATACACACATCCTAACTAAACAACACCATACACACTCCCTAACTAAACAACACCATACACACTTCCTAACTAAACAACACTATACACACTTCCTAACTAAACAACACCATACACACTTCCTAACTAAACAACACCATACACACTTCCTAACTAAACAACACTATACACACTCCCTAACTAAACAACACCATACACACTTCCTAACTAAACAACACCACACACACTTCCCAACAAAACAACACCATACCCACTTCCTAACTAAACAACACTATACACACTTCCTAACTAAACAACACTATACACACTTCCTAACTAAACAACACCATACACACTCCCTAACTAAACAACACCATCCACACTTCCTAACTAAAACAACAATATACACACTTCCTAACTAAAACAACACTATACACACTCCCTTACTAAAACAACACCATACACACTTCCTTACTAAAACAACACCATACACACTCCATAACTAAACAACACCATGCACAATCCCTAACTAAACAACACCATACACACTTCCTAACTAAACAACACCATCCACACTGCCTAACTAAACAACACCAAACAAACTTCCTAACTAAAACAACACCATACACACTCCATAACTTAACAACACCATACACAATCCCTAACTAAAACATCACCATACACACTTCCCAACTAAACAACACTATACACACTTCCCAACTAAACAACACCACACACACTTCCCAACAAAACAACACCATACACACTTCCTAACTAAAACATCACCATACACACTTCCCAACAAAACAACACCATACACACTTCCCAACTAAACAACACCACACACACTTCCCAACAAAACAACACCATACACACTTCCTAACTAAACAACACCATACACACTTCCTAACTAAACAACACCATACACACTTCCCAACTAAACAACACCATACACACTTCCTAACTAAACAACACCATACACACTTCCTAACTAAACAACACCATACACACTTCCCAACTAAACAACACCATACACACTTCCTAACTAAACAACACCATACACACTTCCTAACTAAACAACACCATACACACTTCCTAACTAAACAACACCATACACACTTCCTAACTAAACAACACCATACACACTTCCTAACTAAAACAACATCATACTGATTTCTACACTAAAACAACACCATACACACGTCCTTACTTTTAAATTCTAGAATTATCAAGTGAAAAATCAGCGTACATTTCAATAAAGACTTTTTAATATGATTCAAATGTCTGCTATTAAGTTTGAAGTGTTGTTAAAGTACGTTTCTTTTGTATCGTGAAAGAGTAGTAACCTTAATATAGCATTATTTTCGATTTCATTCCAATATTAGATATAGCGAAAATAAAATGCCCCGTAAATCATTTTCTTTCCTGTCATGTTTACGGTAACGTAAACATTGTGCCACGTAGAAACTTTAAATACTAGCTACCGCATAATTAAAATCAGTCATGCGTATAGCCTTGCTGAATATTTCAAAATTTATTCTAATCTGTGAACATCCAGCAACTCATGTTAATATTGATCAGCTTTTCTGTCATGCACGTTCGTATACTTTCATTTCGCTGTGTCAGCTTTATGGGAATGAAACACTAGAAATATTAGACAACATATGACTTGTTTGTATCATTACACTGTTTTACTTAATGTTTTCACTGAATGCTATAATTACACTTAGGATCTTTAAGAGATAATTCATTACTTAGAATGTCTTATTTCACATCGTTTGAAAAAGTAACTAAGCTAGACAACCGATACACTGACGTATTGGAAATGTTTGTTATCCGGAGTCAATAGCATTGCATCTGAAGCGTGACCTCGCAATACAACACACTATCATTATCTAAACCCTGTGAATCTTTAATTCCATAAATGAGTCCTTCCGTTGTAGATCAAACGACTTCATACCTATATTACATAGCTAACAACAATTTCGATATGATATTTTAGATACATATTAAAAAAAGAAAAACACGTTACAGTACAATTATGTTTGTCTCTTGTATTTGTATTTGAAACTCGGTACTGAATTTCTCTTACCCTTGAAATGAATATATCCTTGGCTAAGATTCCGTTGTTATACATTAAAGAGGCGAAGAAACACCTGCTGTTCTGTTCATTGCTCTAATTAATTATTTACTTTGAGTAAAATAACACATTCCTCTCTCAGCACTAAAGTAAACATGATTATTCTAACTAGTTGTTAATGGGATTGTGGACACGGTGAATACCCCTACAGGATTAAAAACGTGACGAACAGTAGTCAGGTGAGATATTAATCAACAAGGTTTACATTTACCTATTCAGGTAAATTTCGACGAAGCATGTCATTAAACGAATTCCATTATTGTTTCGAAAGGAGGAAATTAAATAAATGTTTGCTCTTAAAAATGAGGAATTACATCATCAAGTCCTCTTATATACCCTGGAATGATTTATACTCAAACTGACTGTCAGCTTTTTAAATTCATATGCGAATAGCAATATACAACGATATGGTGATTAGCTACGACGAGAGGATCAATAATGCATTAGCGAAGCGGGACAATATTCGCTGTGTGAATTACGGAGCTACACATCACGGTGAATATCATCAGTGCCTTCGGAACTGCTGTGACAGAAACAATGGATTCGCCAAGAACTCGACAGAATTACAGTAACCGTCTGTCAAGTAACAGCCGAGTGGACGTAGCTTCACCACCAGATATGAGCCATATCCCTCCCGAACATCTGAAATACCGATCCCCACTGGTGTCTAGGTATGCAAGTCCAGAGATGGCTTTCAACTTCAGTGAAATGAAGAAATTTTCTACATGGCGAAAACTTTGGACTTGGTTAGCAAAAGCTGAAAGGGTAAGTTGTAATGATCTATATGTAAAGTTCACATGGTGGGAATTTGACGTGTATGTTAAATACATCGTTTAACACCACTCAAAAACATATTTTGGAACACCTTGGTAATGTCAGTAGAATAGAAGATTTTATAACATAACCAGTAGAAGGTTGGAGTGTAACGTTCCTATAACTACAGGGTCATTTCTTGGAATGGCCAGTGTGAAGCGGACAAATTACGGACAAATACACTAAATATTAAATAAACGTGATTTTATGCTTTTCAAAAGGAAGTACGATGTATAAAATTTTTCGCTATTTCTTTTACGCAGGAAATCTGGAATATGTTTAAACGTCTATACAAATCCTTTACAGAAACTGCGTTGTTGTTATGGTGGAAAGAAACTTACGATAACCACATTTATATGTATTTGTTGGCAGCACCTGGGACTAGAAATTACAGAGGAACAGATTTCTCAAATGGAACAAAATATCAATAATATCGACTTCGAACGAGCTGCACAAGAAGAGAAACGTGTACGACATGATGTCATGGCGCACGTGCTGACCTTCGGTGCGTGCTGTCCTTCTGCTGCTCCCATAATTCATCTTGGAGCCACTTCCGCCTACGTTGGGGACAACACTGTGCGTATTTGAAAAATATATGTTTAGATTAGGTCACTGTGATAGTAATTAAAATGGTAATTATTTTTCTTGGTGCTCGTAGTACACGAATCTATTCACAATTGCGCAGACATATTAAGGTAAATAAGAAGGCGGGGTCCAGATTTCTCGAACACATTACAGGCGCATTACTGTATTTGCTTTGGGAAGATGAATGTCTTCTTCCGAGCATGAAAAGAGAGTTAACACTTGCTTTTCTGTCATAACTTACAAGAGTGTCGCGTGTCGCTTTATTTATCATGTCACAATTAGATAAAGTCATCCTTTTTGTCACACATTTATGGTCCATTGATGTTATTGACTTGATAGTATACAAAATGAACGTGTGTTCTGGGGATAAACAATCACCTCTGAGGATTTTGGACAGAGTTGTCTACGTCCATATCACAATGAGGTGATAAATTCTATCGATCCTGGGTATGAGATTATTACGTCTCTTATGTGAACTAATAACAAACTTGGACACGATAGCAATGTGCTGTGTACTGACAACTTATAATTATGAACATTATGTTTTATGAGTTTTACCACGACGTACATAAAATGAATGTATGCGATTATGTAGTTTAGTTCACGAGTTATGTACTCAATAAAACTGAGGTCATTCAAAGACCAAATACACAGACGATTGGAAGCTAACACATCATTCTATAGTACCATATAACTAAAGTGTCATGACATGGTCACTGAGGCATGTCACTCACCAGATCATGTAACACTAAAACATCGTATACTATTAAACACAATGAAACATTCCCCAGTCCAACCACAGGAGGTAGATGTAAACAGACGTTGACGATTATTGCAAAAAGACACAACACTAATTCCAAAATATCCCTGGCGACATCATTTAACTTCTCGATCAAATCTCACCATTTTAATTGGCGAATAATGTGTGATACCTTGGGTAAATGTCTTACGTTTAATCCATTCTCTAACACAATATGTCACTGACTAAATTTCAGTATAGTGTGAGTTGTTTGCTATCTTTAACATTTTAAGCTGATCGATCTATAACTATTGCCTCTTAAGCTTTTTTCCTTTTTCTTTCAACTTTTTATTTCAGGGGCAAGAACGAAAGTATTTGATTGCAGTTAGTAGGCAATTTGATTAATAGAACTTTCACTGTTTACTTGTCTATTCATATCACGAAAATTGAAATCCAAAAATAATTCGAAGTAGACCAGCAACAATCTTATCGTATTACATTGAGAAATCGTCTTTGCCAAAGTCACATCTAAAGGAATAAAGTATTTTAAAACGAAACTTTAACTTTTACGACAGTGAATGATGATTTTCTTTCTTCACCAAACCCTGAGGCACCGTGAAGACAAGTATATAAATGAATAAACAGACAAACACATGACACGAGCATTAATTACATTGTGTTTTATTTTCCAGGACCTAATAGTGATGAAGGATGGCTTGGATATCTTATTACCGAAAGTAAGTACGTTTTACTAATATGATAGTTCTTTACATGTGTTGAGCATTCGTCAAATTTGTTGAATGTTTATATGAGAACACTTTACATAGCTTATGTATTAAATACGTGTACGATTAACTTCTGTCATTATATAACTACTCATAGTTTTGATATATATGATATACAGATCTGCATTTGATCTTTCCTGTATCTATTGCACCTATTTTATGTGTTTAATATTTTTTAATATCTTAGCTGTCTTATATATATATATCAAGAGGTTAAGTTTACAAAACAATATACTTGGCAGGCTGGGTGATAGAGTTACGATCCAGTAGTACATCTCAAATACATTGAATCAAATAAATAATTATCAATAATGGTATCTCATTGGAAATATGAATAAGTTATGATTGCATTGTAGTTATACATTGGAACAGAAAGTACAATATGGAATAAAAGACTGCATCAGTGTTTAGTACATAGATTTTTTTTACCTCTTTAGGAAGTAACTCACTATGACTAATAAAAGTCGGCTGCATATCTCAAACAGATCTTCTATTCTTGCTAAACTTGGAGTTGTACAATAGCAATGTGCGTTGTAGTTATGTCTGTAATTAGTTACCAAGGCATTGAAACATTACGTTGAGATAAATAGTGGTATTCAATGCCATTTTAACATAGTAAACAAACACGTTTATAACGTGGTATATACAATCATCTCCTAGTTTCATTGGCTGATTTTAAGTTCAATATTTGCCAATGTTTATGTGCTCTTTAGAATTAAAGACAGGACAGATTCTTATACATCTGCTGTTTTTCGCGATCTTTTCCTACAACACAACCAACATGGACAGCTTGCCACCAAGCTGTATGATAAACGTAATGGTTGCAATTTCCCTATTGTGATTTTTCTATTAAGCACGATCCATTATTTAGTTGACGATAATCTTCTGAATTATTTAGAAATATAGAAAACAAAACTGGTGACAAATTTTCTCCATTTTAAACCATCATTAACAGTAAAAGTGGTAAGATATCTCATTTCCATTACGCCATTTGCCATCTTCATTGCCTGCATACTGCTAGGATCTATCTTGATAGAAAATAAATAAAAAATAAAGCTGTCTTCTGATATAATTAAATTAAATTACGCAGGAACGAATATCTTTTTTGGAATCCTTAATTTGTATTGCTTAGTGTCGAAAGACTTTGTAAAATCACCTATTACACGCGATGTATCATTACTGATATACTAAACTTTCTACAGATGACCATATTTGTGATGTACATTTGTATGAATTTATGCAGCTTGCCCGATGTATACAGAGACTGTCTGTGTTTGCTGAAGAGTTCAAAAGTCAACCATGTCTATCCTATACACATTTACAGTGAGTATATTTTAGTGAAAACGATTTGATCTGCTATCTGTATTTTTTATCATTCTATTACACTAAAACTTTTGAAAACAGGATATATTTAACCGTTAAGTAGAGTGGATCACTTCTTATCTTTATCTGGTCCAATTGTTTGTTTTGTCAATGCACTCATGCTCCTTTATATCATGATCGGATAAAGAAATAGGTGATTTTATTTAACAATGTTGCAATGTGGCCTACCTTCACTTTCCATGACCTCGGTGAAGTGGTATTTGAAGTTACAAAATATGCCCAAAACACACAATTGATACCAATTTCAGCTTACATTTATGATCAGGAATTTAGAGCCATAAAGTTATTTCGTCATCATATGGTACGTTAGTGACCTAGAGTGTTGATATCAAGAAGGCGATTGAGGGAAATACAAATGGCCGAATCAAAGGCGATTCCTTGTGCCGTACGTAGCTTAGAAGTTCTAACATCCACAAGATGTGTAACCAAAGGACAATGTTAATTATTGGCTGTTTGCAGACCGGCACAACTGACCACTGTGGGGAAAAGAGCGTGTGTTTGGGTTCAGGACCTCCTCATGGACGTACGCAACTTTGAGACGACAAGAAACAATATCAAGTTCAGAGGCGTCAAAGGAACTACGGGAACACAGGCCAGCTTTTTAGCTCTCTTTGACGAGAACGACGAAAAGGTAAACTCCTTCTCTAGCGCACAGCAAGAGTGAAAAATATTATACAATATTTTCACTTCAAATACTATGATCTGATGTAAACACTTAAATTTTCACGGTTAAAGCTTGTGTAAAAAATGTATCAGGTTAAAAAAAGGGGTTTTCCCATTCGAACCCATAACTCTGCATTTCTAAGCATATTTTCCTGCTGATATGATGTCAGTTTCATAGTGACTTAGAATAAAAGCAATAGATATGGTTTCATTCTTTACTTGTTAACTTGTGGTTTTTATGAGCTTTATCCAACGCTGTTTTACTGCTCAAATGTAATGTACTGCATGTTTAATATTGACATTATAATAACATTTTAGGTCGAAATACTTGATAAATTGGTTACAGAAGCCGCTGGATTTAAAAAGTAAGTACACTGTTTTACATGGATTGAAATGTGATCTTTATTTCTTTAATTTAATTGCTCTCATCAAGGCTTTCAAAATTAACCTATAGTACAATTGGCGTTGTAAATTGAATGTCATGGGTAACATTATACCCCCTAGAATGGCTGAGGTATTAAAATGCTGGCTTTGTAGGGGAATACTTAATACCTCATTTAATTGTTCCAACAAAAGATATTGTACTATTGCACAATAAAAAATCAGTATCGTACTTAAAACCTTCATTACTTACCCGTGTTATACTTTGAGAACCATTCATACAAAACGTTTATCTTGTTGATTGATTTTCAGAAATTTCCTGGTATGTGGTCAGACGTACAGCCGAAAAGTGGACGTGGATTGTCTGAGCACTTTAGCCAGTATGGGAGCTTCCGTACATAAGGTAGGACAGGAGACTTCAAACTACATCATATCTGAAGAAGGAGTGAATAATACTGAACGAGATATTTATATATCGTATCAGTAAAAACATATCAGAATTATGTGATAGCTTGTGACTTAAGAAAACCGTAGAGCTAGTAATTTTACGGGTAAAATTTTTCGTGATTTTCTTTTAAAAGAAACAAATAATATCCCATGGAATTTAGCTTTCGCAATCTGGATGTAAAATAACATTAATACACGTGTCTTATTATTGCACGAATTAATTTTTCTTTAACTCTTTGATGTACCTGGTTATTTTTCGCCATGATACGTTGGTGATTAGATATATATTCAGATCTGGATTGGTGAGTAAATTCATTTGATCTCTTGTAGATATGTACTGATATTAGATTATTAGCGAGTTTCAAAGAAGTTGAAGAACCCTTCGAAAAGGAACAAACAGGTAATCTGAATTAGTGTATTCTCGAATATTTATCCAAACAACACTTCGCGAATTGAACAAGTTGCATACATCTATTCATTATGTCAAGATCAGACACTGGTACGATATAATTTGATTTGCAATTGGTTCTTTTCGAATATAACAATTAAGTGGAAATATCGTGAGAAGAATTGATACGAAAGTGAAAATGATGATATTGTTCTATTTCGATATTGAGATCAATTATATTTGTAGCATAGCTCTTTCAGTTCAACTGAATAATTCTGTCAATGATAGCATATTAGTTTATAATTTTTTGAATGCTTGAACCAAATACAGTCGCAGAGACAAATCGATACTAGTTCAATTGAACCCATAAATATTCGTCGACAATTAGCTTTGTGATTGCAGTATATTGCATGACGTCCATGTTCAATATTAATGACCATGGACATATTGATGCCTTGTATGATTCAATTGATATGTTTACACAGCATGTTGTAAATATCATATATCACTTTATCTATGGTAGCATCTGGTACTGTGTCATACAAACGTAACCCTATGAAGAGCGAGCGTTGTTGTGCGTTGGCACGTCACCTGATGTGTCTGGTCCAGGATCCACTGATGACTGCTTCTGTTCAGTGGATGGAACGCACACTTGACGACAGTGCTAACAGGTCAGCTATGTTTACAGTATTAAAAAACGTTCTCCACTGTTAATTTTCTCTTCGCGAAACAGATAATCAATGCAATGACTATGATGGAACATGAATCTAGGATGCTCTTCAGATGAAAGGTATTTCTTCACATGAAATCTTCACCATCGTCATCGACCTCATACTGGCATTAAATAAGCTATTTGTTAGTGGGGATTTGAATTCAGTAGTGATCGCCATCTATATCTGAAACCGAGATTTGATTCAAAGTCTCAGGATTATCACTTTAATACAAAGTATCCAGCAACAGTTTATTATTTTCATGCTCGTAAATGCCTCACAACTACAATGCACACATTTGTGTTATTCTGTGAAAAAACTAACTATATTGCTATCATCCCGTTAGCGTTATTGGTAACAACTTGAGTGCAAAACCAACAAACGTTAATAGATTCATTCCTTCCTTCCGTCCGTCTGTACGTCCGTCCTTTGATTTTGAAAGCAAGACCCTGTGTCGGTAAATTTTGTTTGTATCTGGTATTTGTTCGTATCATCGAAACTTTTATGGTAACCAGTTGTTGGTCTTAAAGATATCTAGATCGTTTTCTCCGTGCAGTGACTTTAATATTTAGTTTATGTTTGGCTATTCCCCCTTCCTTCCAGGAGAGTCTGTTTGGCGGAGGCCTTCCTGACGGCAGATATCGTTCTAAGTACTTTACATAACATATCGGACGGGTTGGTAGTCTACCCAAAGGTGAGTTTGTAGTGCCGACAGTCAAGATACGTTGGCACCATTGTCAACTCATTTGTGTTAAATATCATGTGAAGCGAATATTGCATAATTTTTTTTGTGCTTCGTATAGGATTGAAGATACCAAAGACTTCAAAAGTCTTTCTGTTGCACTTAATAGTTTTTCATAATGTCGATGGTAGAAATTATTTTGGCAACAAATACAAAAAACGAGTCGACGTCAATCCAATGCCTTGATTTTTCACCAAACACATATATTAGGGATTTTATACCACTGACTCGTACGATAATTGAGCACTCACCACATTTTGATAATTCTTCCTCATCATTCACGATTTTGATATGAAGCTGTTGTTTCGATATTAAAAGGCCTATTAAAATATTATTACTCCCTTATCAGATGCACAAGCTCACAACTCTTTTAAAAAGATGAAGGTTAAAAGATATCATTTCAATAGTAATATATATGATAATGAATCAATTAGTTGTTTTTTAATTACTTATCTGTGCATGTGTTAGATGACTGACTTTTCACGGATTGATTTTTTTAGTCGGCGAAACAAAGATGTTTACTTCGCTGGAACAGCTGGTATAATTTTCGTTTCAAGTTTTTAGGTTCTCGTTTGTATGCATGCTAGTTTATGCACATATATATCCGATCCACGTCAGTGAGATGATATTTCCTGGAGGGGTCTAGATTAACATGAGCTGAGTTTTCAAATCACCAGCTTTATTTTCCTTGTATTTTATCATGCGTATCAGTGTATAACTTATTTTCGTCTTATCGACTTTGAGATGGAAATACGATCTTATGTCAGTTATTCTTTCCCGTGAATGTGGTAAGTGATCCTTTGTTGTTCCGTATCGCATTGCGTGATGTATCCTATGCAGAAACTGATACATTGATATTGAGCATAATGTAGATGGAATCTGCTTCTTCAGAAATAGTGTCGTTATTTCACATCAGGTCATAGAAAGACGAATCAGTCAAGAACTGCCTTTCATGGCGACTGATGCCATTGTGAAAGCGATGGTTAAGGCTGGCGGAAACAAACAGGTTAGTATCATGGGTCAAGTGTGATATGATGAAGTTTGTATACTTTCTATAGTATTTGAATAAAATTTCGTATATTACAACCCGTTAAAAAGTATTTTTGATTGTAATAAAAGAAAAAAAACACTCCATGAATATAATGAAAAGCCTGAATAAAACATTTTAGCATTTTCATATAAGAAGGTGTAAATTAGCCACAAAGGCTTGACGCAACCTGACTATCAAGTGCGAATCGATTTGCATATGAAACATATGATACATGTTTTTTATGACCTGATGAAATAATCTGATATTGAAATTTATAACTGAATGGTCGGGGTTTATTGCTGGGCCTTACATAGTTGTATTATTTAGTTTGATTCATCATGTGACTATAGATATCTAATACAGTTGTTTTGAAAGGTGTCATTCGCTTTTGAGGCTTTAGTGGAGTCTTGGCTAAGATGGTTGCAGTCTCTTAAATTTGTTAGATATCATCAACTGATATTTTGATATCAAGTTGATGAAAAATAGTTATTGAAATAAATGATGAAATTATAGTTACTGAATGTGTAATGCAAACTTTTTCTTTATAAAACCTTTGGATAACCAAATATTACGTTAAACATTAGAATTAGTATATTTTGTTTTATTGACAGGAATGTCATGAAAAAATTCGGAGTATATCTCACGAGTCTGGCATTGAAGTAAAACAACATGGCGGCGAAAACGACTTCCTGGAACGGGTTCGGAAGTCGCCCTATTTCCATCCTATTCACAACGACCTCGAGGACATTTTTGATCCCAAACATTTCATTGGTCGGGCACCAAATCAGGTAAATTAAAAACCTATGGATTAATCAGAGTAATAACAAAATTCAAATGTAATGTTTGTTATAGAAAATAAAGATGATTTCCATTTTAAAAGTAGCAGACTGCCTACGTTTCATCAATAGGTGAAAGTGTGTTTAGGAAGGATTATGATAAAATACCAAATAAAGAGGTAAAATTCTGCTAAACTTTTCATAACAAAGACTGAAACAAAGACCAATATAATCAGTTACTTGCGTAATGAACGTTCGATTTAATAAGTGTTTTGACATATGCTAACTTATATTCAAAATAACAAGAAATACACTTAACGCATATTCAAGGCTGCGATTGTATAGTAACCAAATAATGATATATCAAAATAAAAGTTTTAATTTTTGTATCTATAGGTGAGCAGGTTCTTGGAGGAGGAGGTAAAACCAAGTATAGTGATGTATGCCAACATCATGGACGACATTGCAGAACTCGACCTCTAGCGTCGGAAATTATTACTACAATAAACCGTATAATACTTACATTGGAATGTTGAAATGAAAATCATTGAATATTCTACGCGCTCTTTTTGCAGATAATTATACGTGTGATATTTCCATTTACCACACTTTAATAAGAATTATGATTGAGACAATCGAAAATGAGTGATCTTTTACTTGGAGTCTTAAAGACTTTATTCAAGGAATATTCAATGAATTTGAGAAAAAAGAAGTTTGATAATGAGAAAAGCACAAGCGGAAATAGTATCTGGCTTTCCGGACGGGTAGACATCTTCTGCTTCATCATGTCATGTAATTATTGTTCAACCGTTCAATTTAGTTTTTCCTTGCCAGAGGCGGTTTTTGACAAAGGTGATAACATGAAATACGATTCTCGTGATCTGCTGCTGACGTTTCTGACAACGTTTGACGAAGTCATTTACTTCCGCCGCAAAGAAAAAATGGATCACGAGGAAAGTGTAAACAAGCATATATGTCTTATGTATGACACTTGCTTTTGCGCCATTCTGCTAATTCTTGTTTGCAGTAAATGATTACATAGTGTTACAATATATGATTTTTAAAAATAAATCTTAGTAATTCGTTTTGTTTTGGCTTGTCGTGCGAGAATTAACTATGTCAATCGCGGGTGCTAAACTATATTGGGGCCAAAAAGAAGGTAATTACAACCGGAAAAGAAAAAACTCATTGTGCAGAAGTGCACAGGAACTGATACTTTGTACACATTAATATATATTGTTTACCATTCAACATGTGTCTATGTGTTCCGTATGAAGGTATGTTTATCACCACGGTTGTTATTCTCACAGAAACACTAGTACCGTCATATCTTTACACTTAGAACGAATACCCCAATTGGACCCCACCTTGCAGTCAACAACAAACACATGTTGTCGATAGTAAATTCAAGCGAATAACACATCTATTTTCATTCAACATTTATCATATAACACTTTTAGTAGTGTTGTTCATAACATGTACACGCGTCAAACACTGGATATTGAATTATAATCAATGACAGGCGGATACGTTATAATTATAGGGCTAACGTTAAGCTAAACAGCCAAGCAGCAGCTTCGCAAATTCTGAAACGTATTCAGTCCAAGATCCTCCTTCATCTTTCGTCATCTATCGATCTCCTGTCTAATATAAATTCTTGTCCGTCCTCTCTTCTGGCCTGACTCCTTCCTCTTACGCTTTCTGGCACTTTCTGTAAGGTAAATTTTTGGTCCTCGTCGCCTTTTCTATTTGTGTCCGCCATATTGCTTCTTTCTAGGGTTATACGCATGCGCAGCATCAGGGTAATTTATTAATTAGATCAAGACCGCAATGTTTACATTCTTTATATTTTAGATATCAATAAAAAATGGACTTTTAATTTTAGTAATTAATAGAAAGTCCTAGTTTTAAAACATACTATTGGAAAATAAAACGTTTTATATCGTTTTCTCGTAGTGTTTTTTAACATTATAGTCGCTTTAATAGGTATTTTGATATGTATATTATCATTATTATTTTCTGGTAACTCTAGTAACATCGCAGAGGTTGAAAACATATTATGGCAAAGGAAACAATATATATATAATTTGTTTCAAATGCCATATAAGGTATGTTGAATTAAAAATATACCAAAAATTATACGTTCTGTGCTTATTGGGATTTTTTACCACACGTCAAAGTCTATATTGTTTTACCGTCATTTATATGGTTTATACATAATGACGTAATTAAGATGAATACCATCTGTTCTTGGTCTCGTCTACGTTTGTTTTGCTATCATTTCCGGTACATTTTCCAAAGAATATAAAATAGAAGATGATTTTCAAGATGACAGAATATTACAGGGGATAAAAAAGCTCTAATTTTCTTGATTGCGAAACCGAAACAACCAATAGAATGGTTAGTTATATCTCTTTAGATCCTTATTGATCACGTTAGGACAATTCTAAGACGAAATATTGATAATGGCAACCATGGCGACCATGTTGAATATTAATTACACAAACAGAATGCATTGTGGGCTATTCTTCTTCGTAATCTCCATCATAATTGAACTAAAGATGTGACTACGGTCTTGTCCTTGATTCGACAACAGCGCTTATAACAGAGTGTTTGGTAGTCTATTCTGATAGAGACACATAGGCGTCAGAGTTAGCGACTAGGCCTACAGGTTGTCATTGAGCATAGAAGGCAGCAACCACGGTAAGGTTGACGGTCTTTTGGTCAGCGACTACAGATAGCAATTATGTGATGTTAGTGCCCGCCGACTTGCGCGGTATCTAGGGTCCGTTGTAATGTTTATGATTGTATACTGGTCTGAGAATTTGAGGGAAGGGCGATAACTCTGTGAGTCATAAATGAAACTTGCATTGTGTAAGAACTCTTTTGTGTGAGAGGGAAGAAAAAGTTGTAACCTTTGAAAATACACATAGAAACATCAGAAGAATTTTTTTTATGTAACTAATACAACACAATACCGTAACCTAGATAGACTTGCATCATCACTGTGTGTGCGATTACACGAGTGTAGTCGACGGTCATCTCTAGACCGGAGGTCAGTATGAAACTATATGACCTGTGACTAGTGGTTGGCGACCAGTCAAATGTTGAGGCAATAATTATTGACTGGTGATCAGTTATACTTGTAGTTTAAACGAAGTCGTTGACAAATAACACGACTCTCGGGTAGGCAATACACAGACAGTGTGTACATGTGTGTAAACAAGTGTGTGAATGTATATAAAGTTGCATCTGTGAATTTAGTGACTAGTTGACAGCGGTCAGGCAGACCGTCAGTCTGAATTCACAGTTTGTTGTTTTGATAATGTCTATGTAAAACTGATGTTACAAACGTTACCAAATAGTAACGTACAGAGTATATATTACATACTGGCATTTGTAGGCTACGGTAGATATCCGACAAATACGTTTACCGGGATTTCTCTCTACGAGAATGACGGATCCAGAAAGAAACGTCACAAACATGCCTCTATTGGCACCTGTTGTGTAATGAGTTTTAATATAGCGTACAACTAAATGCACGTCAGCTACCAGGTGAGCGCATCGTTCACAGTATCACAGTACATTTACTATAGCTATCATCAATTCCAGGATGAACTTGATATGATCTACAATTGAACTTCAGACTGTCATAGGAATTGGTAAAATTCAAGCATTTTTATGCAAATGAATGTTAGTTGTAATGTTCGTTTATCGAATGGAGAGACAAATACAGTCGATGTATTCTGTGGGCTTCCTCTAAATCAGTTGCATTTTTATCTTGTGCATAAAACATTCCATATCGTTTCCATACGCATTTTAATTTTCTTCAAATACGTATTCTTTTACAAGTCTGGAGTCATTTTATTCACCACTACAATTACCATTGTAATACTTACTGTCCGTGGACATACTCTCCAGTCAGAGTTCAAATACACATGCGACAACGTGCACCTGTTTGACAAAGAAATACGTCTTGAGTAAATCAAACGATTAACATAAGGAAAGTGTATCAAAGCCGGTACATGTGTTCGTATATGAAATTCATCTTCAACCTTTAATCGTGTTATACAACATCCAAAACGTAAGAGACCTTTTCCAGGCAATCACGATCCGGAAAGTCATACCATACATCGTAAACATGAATTTAATACCAAGATGCATCAGTAAAAAAGAGAAATTGTATATAAACATATGTATAATTTCAAGACTGTTGCATGCAAATTGAAACACTATCTTCTCTGGTCAATAAATCATGTATTGCTTTGTATTTTGGTTACGCGTAGGAGACGTATTTGCACGGAACTTTGGACAAAGATAACATTTAGAAGAATGGATATCGTTTTTTGAGAATTGTTTTAAAATTAGCCACGTTAGTGTATCATGTTAATTAAGTCGAAAATATTGTACATGGGGTTCGTTGACACGATTTAGCCACCAAGTCTTAATGTAGTCCAAAGTGACAGTCATGTGTCTTCCATGGAGAGTATGAATTGTTTCATAATCTCAATAGTTAGCTATGAAAGCAGCAATACTATTAGAGAAAAATGTCAATATGGAATTCATTTTCACAATATGGAATTTTCGTGTTATCAAGTAAAACATAGAACAACATTAATATACAAACAAGAAATCTAAAATTTTCGTCTTTCTCTGTATTATCACATACTTCCCCTTATTAAAAATTTAGACTTGACTTGAAAAATTAGTAGTGATGGGCTTACAAGACTTGTTTTCATATGATTACCAAGTCACGATGAAAAATTCGGAATTAAAACTCCCTTACATTTGTATCGTTATTATGTGGAAATTGCATTGTATAAGACAACATAATAATATAAAGTGTTGTATTGAACTGTGTCACACTGTATCTAAATATATAGTTGTATTGAACTGTGTCACACTGTATCTAAATATATAGTGGTATTGAACTGTGTCATACTGTATCTAAATATATAGTTGTATTGAACTGTGTCACACTGTATCTAAATATATAGTTGTATTGAACTGTGTCACACTGTATCTAAATATATAGTTGTATTGAACTGTGTCACACTGTATCTAAATATAAAGTTGTATTGAACTGTGTCATACTGTATCTAAATATATAGTGGTATATAGTTGTATTGAACTGTGTCACACTGTATCTAAATATATAATTGTATTGAACTGTGTCACACTGTATCTAAATATATAGTTGTATTGAACTGTGTCACACTGTATCTAAATATATAATTGTATTGAACTGTCATTCTCCTGGTTACTTTTATTAATTGATTTTAGAAATAAAGAGTAAATACTGAAGCAAACTGTAAAGGCAAACAAAACAAGAAGTTACCAACAAGACATCACAATCATAATCCAAACTCAAATTCAGTTAAGCTATAGGAAAATACGAACAAAAGAACGATGTGTACGAAACTTCTGATGGAATGTTTGATCTTGTGCCCGAATAAATCAATATTGTTTCCGAACTCAGACTC